AGTTCTACTGAGCTAGACTTGGCCATCGAGCTCTAGGCCAGTTAAACAGACAAGTGTGAAAGTGAAAAGCAAAGAAGAGATGTAACATTGTCATATGAGTAAGAAGAGCAGAGAAGTCCAATGATCTCTCTCTTCCCCTACACCCCCCCTCCCCAGTCCATCTCTCAGGTCCTGATATGAGGTTTTTGTTTAAACAGATGTCAGTCATGGGGAGGGTGTGGTCTCGCCCATCATTGACCCATCATCATTTAGACTCTGATCTCTCCTTCAAGGTGGTCTGACAAAAGTCGGACTGTGTGAAATCTCTTGCAGGGAGACAAACTCACATTCATTTCCTTCTCCCAGCATGAGACTCCTTGAGAAATCCTATTTCTTGGGGTCCACTCTTTCAGTACTCTGAAAGCTGAAGAGAAGGTGGGTGCAAGTGTCTCTTTCATGTATTCTCATTCCTGCCAGACCTATTCTCCAACAACATCAGGATTCATATTTATGTTTGAGAGACTCCACCTTAGCCCCACACATTGCATACTGACTCCACACTGCATATGGGGCTGCTGCTTTTCAAGAAGGGCAGCCAGGCAGAGCGCTCATGTGCTCTCGTTCTCTCTCTCCCCTGTCATACACACTCTCACCCCTTTTCCCCTCTCCCTTTCCCCACTTTTCCTCTCCCTCCCCTCTCTCTCTCTGTCCTGGCTGTCCTGGAACTTGCTTTATAGCCGCTGGCCTCAAACTTTACTTGCCTCTGCCTCCCAAGTGCTGGCTGAGGTTAAATGCTTGTACCACCACCATCCAAATCAAGAGACTATTAACAACTTAAACATAACCATAGAAAGCAAAGTTAAATATCTCTTCATGATTCTTTAATCATGAAAATACTAGCTCTGAAGATGTTAGCCATAGAGGGAACATACCTGATATAATAGGGAAAATTTATAGTCAGCATACTAAATTGAGTAAATTGAAAGCATTCCCTATGAAATCAAGTAAGAGTACGTACTCTTTATTTTTTTTTCGTACTCTTTATTTTTAAAGAGTCTCTTTATTCAGTACAGTGCTTGAAATATTATGGTACAGGAACAAAGCAAGATAAAAAGATTAAAAAGTTGGAAAGAAATTGTTATCTTTATATGCTAATAACATATTTGCTAAGAAATAAGTCAGAAAACTAGTCCCGTTCACAATAAGTAACTAAGACCAAAATACACAGTTATAAGCCTAATGAGGGAGATAAAGGACATTTACAATGAAAAAAAATTGGGGATAACACTAAGAAAGAGAAATATAACTCATGTTCATAGGTCCACAAAACTAATATTGTGAGATTAGCTTTACTGCCTAAAGTTTGTAGGACATTACATTCTTTAATAAAGTCACAATGAAGTAAGTTCCTCAAAGAGTTGGGGAAAAAGTCAACTGAAACTATCAAAGCCCCTGTATAAACAGCACAGTCCTTAGCAGAAACAATAGTGCTGATATGGAGGCATTACCACAGAATTAGATTTTAAGTTATACTATGGAACTATTGCAACTTGAATATGATCCTGGCACAAAATATGGGCATATGGATCTGTGGAATGGGATAGAAAATGCAGAAATAAAAACATACAGTTAAAGTTACCCAATATTTGTGTACTATCCAAAAACAAATTTGGAAGAAAAGGTAACATCTTCAACAAGTAATGCTGGGAAATGTACATATTTGCATGTAGATAGTGAAACTCAGTTTCTATCTCTTACTATAGAAAAACCAATTAAAAGTGGATCAGACATCTTTCTTTTTTAAAAGAATATTTATTTATTTATTATATATACAATATTCTGTCTGTGTGTATGCCTGCAGGCCAGAAGAGGGCACCAGATCCCATTACAGATGGTCGTGAGCCACCATGTGGTTGCTGGGAATTGAACTCAGGACCTTTGGAAGAGCAGGCACTGCTCTTAACATCTGAGTCATCTCTCCAGCCCCCAAACAACTTTCTATAATACTTGAAGCTAACTGATATTGATAAAAATACTTTATAGAGGCATAAAAAAGGAATTTTTTGAAAGTGGCACTAATATTACAGAAAATAATTCCAGATACAACAAATAAGACTGCATGAAATAAAAATGGAGCTGTACAGAAGAGGAAACACTCAGTAGAGTGAGGAGATCGCCTATAGAGTTTGAGAAGATCTTTGTCAACTATGTATCTGACAGAATTAATATATAAACTCCATAAGGAACTAAAGGCTAACTACACCTCCTAAAAAAAACTTGTTAGTTAGTCAACAGGAAAACTTAGAGACTGTTTCCAAAAGAAGAAATATCAGTGTTCGTGAATACATGAAAAATGTTCTACGTCCTTAGCCATCAAGAAATAGCACATTAACTGATGTGATGGCACACTTTTTTAGCCCAAAACTGGGGAGATAGAGAGGCAAGTAGAGCTCTGTGAGTTCAAGGGCAGACTGGTCTGCATAGGCTCTCCAGGATAGCAAAAGCTACATAGTGAGATTCTGTCTCAAAAAATGAGAGGAGGGACTATCTTGGGATTTCAGTCACAATAGCTGGGTTGAGAAAACAACATATGCTGACAAGGATGCAGTAGAAATGGAACTCTTAGAGACCATTGGTAGTAATGGGAAGTCGTACAGCCGCTATGGAAATTATTATAGAGGTTTGTCCAGAAACTCAAAACTAGTATATGATCCAGCTGTGCAACTACTTAATATATACCCAAGAGAACTGAAGTCAGCTTCCCACAGAAATCCTTGCATATTTATATTTATTGTAGCTTCACAATACCAAGGATGTAAAAGTAGGCTGATGTCAATCAACAGATGACTGACTGTACAGAGAAAGCATAAGAGAGTGTGGGACAGAAGGCACCAGCTGATAGGGGCTGTAATTTTGATGTGTACAAAGCATAATACAAGTGTATTAAAATGTTATAGTGAAAAGCATCATTTTGTATGTTAGCAAAAAATTTCAAGTCTTAAAGAGACTTGAAAACTGGGTGTAGCAAAATCTACCTGTGGACAGTCATCTCTGGAAATGTCATTTCTGCCATTTTTCAAATATATCCCCCACAGCCTGTTTTATTTCCTTACTTCATTGTTATTTATGAGCAAGTGAGCCCATGAGAACAGGTCATTTGTTAACAGTTCATCTTGTTCCAGTGACTTGGACAATGTCCATAGACATAGTTCTTTGGTATTAAGAAAGTCTTCTGGTTAACAGTCAGTACTCAACAAACAGGAACAGAAGTAGTAGATGCCTGGCTTATGCCTTACTAGAAATTTCTGAATACTAAATCCATTTTTCATGCTTTTTTTTTAACATTGTACTGTATTTCTAGATGTCATTCTTAGTTATTCCACAAAGTAATAAATTAATTTTTATTTTACAAGATTTTGATTTTATTTTTATTGCTTAATGGTCTTCAATTTTTATGTCTTTTTGTCAGTATACATCAGTCTTGAAAACAAAATCTAAAATTTTAATGTTTTGTTAACCAAAAAATAAGCACCTTTGATTTTAATTCCTTAAAGTCGTGATGGTTTTAAATTTTTATCACTCTGCCAGTTGCCTCAGCAGCTGCTATATTCTAGATACTTAGGACATTTTAGAATATTGTGTCTAGGAAAATACTTAATTTTCATATACTTACTATATTTAGGTACTGCTGATGACCCATTAGCTGATATTTCTGAAGTCTTAAACACAGATGATGACATTCTTGGAATAATCTCAGATGATCTTGCAAAATCAGTTGATCATTCAGGTATACATGAATACTGTTTGCCTGATTTCTGTTTTGTGATTTAAGAGCTGTATGGATGTGGAACACTTTTATTTTTCCCAATAATGGAAGTGGGTTTGATGTTTTGCTTTGATTTTTTTTTTTTTTGACTGTGTCAAAAAAGCCAGTATTGATCTTCTTGGACTGGCTTTAGGAGGGGACATAACAAGTTGGCTCATCCCTGTTACCTAATTGCATCAGATTTAAGGCATGTTGCCTTAAAAGTCTTGCTGTACTTTCTCATCTTTTTGTGTATTTTCCCTCCCTTCCCACTTCTGTGGTAATCATCCATTTTATTTGATTTGGGTCTTGTAGGTCTTGATTTATGCACTTTCCAGGTTGGGAGCTCACCCTTCCCTTTTGGTAAGAACTGAGCGATGGATGGCACTGACTAGAAGTAGTCTTTCTTAGTAGTGATCTCAGCTGGAGCAACCTGTAGGTGCATGCGTGTTCATTAGTAGTGCTAATGCGTCACTAATCCATACTTTGCTTTTCCCTTTTTGTGTACAGCTAAAGCATAGTGCTTTCAATGACTTCCTTAATAATTTTAATGAATGGTTCTTATATAGCAGTAGTTTATAATATTACCTGAATAATAGTTTCTAATACAATATTAAATACAGACTAAAATGTAAGACTAATGGTATTAAGAAAGTACGAATAGATGATAGGCTACTATTATTAGATGTTATAAGGTTATGAGCATAATTTATATTTTCAGATTATAGCTATGAAATATTTAAAATAATAATTGAAATTACTTACAAGAGATAATTGTGAAGCTGTAATACTGAGTGTGCATCTTTGAATTAATTTATGCCAAACCTTATTATTCCTGACTCACATGTTGTATTTGACAGTTGACCTGATGATACCACTGGTTTTCAAGTTAGAGCAGTTATTCATGTAATTGCGTCTTATGTATTCTTAAAAGCATTTAGATTTTGTAGATATTGCCAAGTTGAAATCAGTTATGTTCTTTTGTTCCTCAGGAAATATATTTATTTTGAAGAAAAGATAACTTTAGGCATCATGTAAACATTGTAGCTAAATTTAGTAATAGCCTTTCCAAAGTACTACCAGAATTCTGATAATTATAATTCAGGAGTATAGGCTTCTTTTAAATCAGTATTGTGTGTTAATGCATGTAGATAGTGTTGTCCATTTTGTGCATGTGTTGGATTCACCTTTTCATTTATTTACCTTATTCTTTTAGATATTGGCCCCATTGCTGATGATGCTTCCTCTTTGCCTCAGCCAAGTGTCAGTCAGAGTTCACGACCGCTAAGTGAAGAGCAGCTAGATGGGATCCTCAGTCCTGAGCTAGACAAAATGGTCACAGATGGTAAAATATTTGCCCTACATCTAGGCTTTCTAAAAGACATGAGTAAATATGACCTTGAAAGCTTTTTGCATGCAATTTTACACTTGGACTTGCTTTCATAATTTTTCTATTAATTAAATGCTATTTTATATCCATATATTGAATAGGTAATTATTACTGTTTTTTTTAATCTTAGGAGCAATTCTTGGAAAGTTATATAAAATTCCAGGTATATTTGTATTCTGTTGTTTTACTTTATAAAAAGTGGCATTCCACATTGAATGACCCTAATAATTTTCATGTTACTTCTGTGATTATTTTACCCAGAGCTTGGAGGAAAGGATGTTGAAGACTTGTTTACTGCTGTACTTAGTCCTACCACTCAGCCAGGTGCATTACCACAGCCTCCTCATCCACCGCAGCTATTGCCAATGCACAATCAGGGTATGTTATTACCTTCTAAAGATGAATTTATTTGTGTGTGTATTTGCAGGTGTATGGGAGGGCGTGCACAGGTGATCAGCCTCAGCTGATGTTTTTTAAGAGCTATCTTCTTTGCTTATTGAGAGCAGTACAATGTCCAGATTATTTTTCTATTATTATGTAGAGTATATGTGCTCAAGCGTGTGTGTGTGTGTGTGTGTGTGTGTGTGTGTGTCAGTCAGAGAGAGGGAGAGAAGGAGGGAGGGAGGGAGTTAACGGTCAGAGGGCAATATGCAGGAATCAAGGCTCTTTTTTTGCTATGTTGTTCTCAGAGATCGAACTCAGGTTGTCCAGGCCCTTGGTCACAGGCTTTACCCACTAAACCATCTTGCTCCAAACCATTTTTGGAGTCCCATTAAATTTTCTTTTCTGATTTATTCATGTGTGTGCATAGCTGTGTGGGCACATCCACTCTGGTGCATGTGTGGAAGACAGGATAACTTGCAGGAGTAGGTTCCCTCCTGTCATCATTTGGATCCTGGGGATCTAAGTTAAGTGGTGAGACTTGGCAACAAGCACTGCCTTTATCCATCCTCACTCCTTCTCTCCCAGCTCTTTATGCTCTTCGGGCAGCTTACTAATTGATGTATCCAGCTGAAGCCATGGGTGTTATTACATATGCACATACACTGCCCTGTTCCTTAGTGCCACATGGCACAGACTTGTAGGAGAAAACCCACTTTGCAAATGATGGAAAAATACTTCCCCCAGTCGGACTCCATGAAATTGTCTAACACATAAGATTCATTTTGAGGCTAGACCAGACTTGCTCCTAAATTTGCATGCACCATTTGTAATGGTGCCTGGCCTCTCTTCTTTCCTCAGTCCCACCCTAACTCACTTTTCATCCTGCTCATCCACACCTGGTGACTATTCTCTTTGGGTGACTATACCTTCTGTGAAACAACTAAACTCAACAAATCAGGTCTCAGTTTTACTATTGTTTCTTCAGAGGTCAAACATGCTTAACCCTACCCCCCATGTGCTTTCATTTGTAGAGAGTGGCACAAATATAAATGCTTTTTGAGGTGATAACTTTCTCTTTTTAGCTTGTGATCTCCTCAAAGATTAGATTCTCGTCCTGTTCATCATAGGATGTTTGTTCAGAGTCAGTTAATGACTTGCCCATTTTTAAATTCCTGTGAACGTTTTTGGAAATTTGCCTTTTTTTGTTTAACCAGTTTTCTTTTATCTGCTAGTCACAATTTGCAGTGTAAAGCAGGTTCAATCTATAACCCAAGATTTCTCAGAGGATGCATTAAAACCATGTGCAATGGGATACTCTCCTTTTCCTTCCACCCCTCTATGTGTACATGTATGTGTGCCTATGTTTATGACTTTTATTTTGGTAGAAATGGGACATACATACCTCATTCTGATTTATAGGTAGTTGCAGTAAGTCAACTCTATAGATAAAAGAATACATGTTATTTTTCTAGTGTTACAAACTGTAGCTATGGTATTAGTGAGGTATTTTTTCAGAGAATCATATTGCTAACAGAGTATAGATTCCTGAGCTATTTACTGAATTGTATATCTGTTCTCAGCCCATCCAACTTACAGTAGGTAATTATAATGCTTCTTATTCACCCCCTCTTGTTGTTTTATTTTATGTTTTATTTATTTTTTGTTGGGTTGTCTGTTTTTTAAAGGCAGGATTTCTCTGTGTAGTCCTGGCTGTTCTGGAAATGCTCTGACTGGCCTCAAATTCAGAGATTGACCTGCCTCTGCCTCTTGAATACTGGAATTAAAGGTGTGCACCACCACTTCCCAGCTTATCTTTTCCATTTTAAAAGGTTAGGTAAAAGTGAGAAGGGTAAAGAGAGCGAGTGCAAAGATGTCGTGTGGTCTTGTTGTTAGAAACAGAATGTAAATTTAATTTACATTTAGAATGAGAAGTGAGGCAGAGAGGCATTGTTAATGGTAATATGGAAAGTTAAGAAGCAGAGAAGGGAATTTCAAGAAGGTTGAGATAATGTAAGTGGATGTTTCATCAGGTAAAAGATAAGTGTTCTATTCTTTCCATGAAGTCATTCTCAAAATGTTTTTTTTCTATAAACTACTATAGCTTAGATAGATGTTGTAGAGTTGAAGAAAATGACTCTCTTAACTCTAACTATGTATCAGGTATGGTGAACTTTAGCACTCCAAGGCTGAGGCAAGACTGCTGTCGTGATTTCTAGGACAGTCAGGGCTATATAGTCAGTTCTTGTCTCTAAAATTTAATTATTTTAATTTATAATGAAGGAGAGATGCATTCCTGTTTACTCGTGAGACCTTTAAAAATCTTTTACTTCCACATGGTTTCTCTTAAATGGAGGAACACATAAGTACTTTAAGGTTTAGTGAAGCTACAGAGTTAATACATGCAAGACTTTACAGAATGGTACTTAGCACCAGAGATGGTGGACTTAGAAGAGGTGTATTACTGGTAGATAGCGACAGCTATGAGCATGTTTTTACCACTCAGCTTTTGTTTGTCCTAATTATATGAAACTTCAGCATTTTTAAAGGTGTGCAAAACAATTAAGTGGGTAAGGCTCTTATATGAAGCCTGACTGTCTGAATTCAATACCTGAAATCCACATGAACATGGTAGCGATACCCTTGATGGTAGTAGGGAAGAACGAGGAAATCTTACATTTGCCTAATGTTTACTTGAAAAGAAGATGATAAAGTATTGAAAGAGAAGCTGAATTTCAAACCTATAATTCATTGTTTTTGTAGTTAATGCGTATTACATATTTACTGCCTACCAGGAAATGTATGTCCTAAGTAAACACACAGTATTCCACTCAATGTACACAATTCCTCTGTTTGACAAATTGAGTTAGAAGTCAGTTTTGCTTTTAACAAGTTCTAGACTTGCATTGAAAATGTAGAGCTGTTGGACTGTAGAACTATTTGTATATTATACTGAAATTAGGGAAGTGTGATTGTTAAAGACCACATTTCAAAATTTTATAACCAAGCTTATCACCCCTTATTCTGTATTATATAGTATAATATTGAAAAAAAACCACTAGTTTAAAATAGTATTAAAAGATTTCATTTCAAATATTTAAGCATCTTACAATTTATGAATATTTAATAAAATGATTGTTTTTCTTCCTTTAAGATGTTTTTTCCCGCATGCCGCTCATGAATGGCCTTATTGGACCCAGTTCTCATCTTTCACATAATTCTCTGCCTCCTGGAAGTGGATTGGGGACTTTCCCTGCTGTAGCACAATCCCCTTATACTGATGTCAGGTATTTTAAAATTTTGCTTTTTATGGAAACTTAAATTATACTAACCTTTTTTCTATCTTTAAATTATTATTCATGATATTACTGTTTGTTACATTTGCTGTGAGTTTTACTTAAGACCACCAAGCATATTTAAAGCTGTTTTCTAACAAATCCTAACTAGAGTAATTCTTGAGCATAGTATTAGTAGAAAGTTACCTTGTTTATGATGTGAATGTGTTTTGTTATTTTCCAGAGACAAAAGTCCAGCATTTAATGCAATTGCAAGTGATCCTAACAGCTCCTGGGCACCAACAGCTCCCCCTATGGAAGGAGAAAATGATACCATGTCAAATGCCCAGAGGAGCACACTGAAGTGGGAGAAGGAGGAGGCTCTTGGTGAGATGGCAACAGTAGCACCAGTTCTCTACACAAACATTAACTTCCCTAATTTAAAGGAAGAATTCCCAGGTCAGTCATGAGTGGATCTCTTGAATGCCATGCCCTTGTTTTGAAGAGTATACTACAAAGTCCTTTTTCATCACGTTTATCTGACCTGGTTGCCCATGATGCAGATTCCTTTACTTAGTAAACCTAGGCCTTGTGCTCATTTGTATATTTCCCAAAACTTTCTTTTATTTATGAGATTGTCAGTTTTCTAGGTCTTATCAGTGCTCAAGTATGAGGTAGTTAATGCTTTTTTTTTTATCAAGTACCTTTTTTATTCTTTGAGAATTTTTCACATATACAATGTATTCTGGCCATCATATTTATCTATTCTTAAACCTTCAACCCCTCCCAGATTCTCCCCCTCGTTCCATTCCAATTTTGTGTCCTCCTTTAATTTTTGGGGGGGTTTTGTTTTGTTTTGGTTTGGTTTGGTTTGGTTTTGGTTTTTTCAATACAGGGTTTCTCTGTAGCTTCGGAGCCTGTCCTGGAACTAGCTCTTATAAACCAGGCTGACCTTGAACTCACAGAGATCTGCCTACCTCTACCTCCCAAGTGTTGGGATTAAAGGTGTGCACCACTACCACCTAGTGGTGTCCTCCTTTAAAACAAACAAACAATAACAACAAACAACCCACTGAGTCCAGTTTGTGGTGCCTGTATGTCCTGGGTATAGGATTTATTGTCTACCTTCTAGGGATCATACCCTTAAGGAAAATTTATTTTTCTTCCTCTAGAAGCCATCAACTGTCCTCACTATGTGTGGGAGGTCATGAGCACATCTGCCCTCCCCCATACCCCTTGCAGGTTACCTGGTTCTCACAGAGGCTGGAAGAGGGCATTGGATCCCTCTGTAATTACAGATGGTTTTGAGCCCCGTGTGGATACTAGGATTCTTACCTGGGTCCTCTGGAAGAGCAACCAGTGATCTTAATTTATGCTGAGCCCCCTCTGTCTCTATTCCTCATCATGAGACTATGTTAGACTTGAAATGCAATGTTTTATCTATGCCTGATACATAAAACCTCAAAGATAGTTTTCTGTTGTGTTTTGAGTATGGTTTGTTTAGGCTAAGACTGAATTACCAGCTGTGATTTCAGGTTGGAACTCAAAATGTTTTAAATTTAAATGATTTCTGATTTTAAGATTATTGATACTAAATCTATTTTTGTGTTAAAAATATTATCTGAATAAGATGATAAACAGTTTATTATTAGTTTTTATTACAACACTGTATCACCTTCTTTCTGAAGTGTGTCTTCTGTGGTTTATCACAACACTGTATCACCTTCTTTCTGAAGTGTGTCTTCTGTGGTTTATCACAACACTGTATCACCTTCTTTCTGAAGTGTGTCTTCTGTGGTTTTGCAGATTGGACTACTCGAGTGAAACAGATTGCCAAGCTGTGGAGAAAAGCCAGCTCCCAGGAAAGAGCACCATATGTGGTATTTAAAAATTCCTATGTGTTATATCTTTAAACACAATATTTGAAACTTATTTTTATTAGGTAATGAAAAGAAATACTCAATACTGAGAAAACTAGCAGGTATCTTTATTTTAAAGTTATTTGTTAACTCATTTTTCTTTTGCTAAAGAACGTAAGTTATTTTTACTAAAGGACAGAACATTTTTAACAGACCAGAGTATATTAAAGACACAATTAATCTCATTTAAAATCGTTTTGTCTCTTAACAGATAGTACTGCATTTGCAGATGAGATTAGTTTCCTTTTTTGTGTGTGTGTGTGATAGTTACAAAAGAGTCTTTATACATTTTGAAAGAAACACATTGAAACTTCCTTCAAGGAGTTCTGAAATATCACCATTGTGGGATTAATTTTTCCTGAGGAGCTGAACTGAACCCTTGCTTCAGTTGCGGCCACAGTAAAGTCTTATTGTGAGAAAAATAAATGCTATTGTCATCTACAAGATCTTCTATGCATCAGTTTTCAGTTAGAATGGTAACTTTTGGTGAAGCTAATGGGGGCAGGACTGAGGAATAATTTTATGGCTTGTTTTACCTTAAATTAGTAATGAGAGAATTTTTTTTAATGCATAATTTTCCTTGATTCTAAGTTTTAGATTTGCAGCTATTTTAGTTTGAGAATCAGTTTGCTATCTTCATCTTTAAATTGAGGGACATGCTAGTTCTTTTTTGTTCTAATGATGTGTTTGAATTATCATAGTATATATTCTATTACCCTGGGATTTCTTGCTGTAATTCAAACACATAAACAGAATTGTCTTTACCTGATAGTAGCATGCACTGTGGAGAAAGTGGACTACTATCCAGGTCCTTTTTTTAAAAAGCAGACTGTAAGTTTTCGAGAGTGATATTTCAACTATTAGCACAAGTTTTATATCCTAAAAACACTGGAACGTATTCTTTTCTTTTGCCAAAGCAAAAAGCCAGAGATAACAGAGCTGCTTTACGCATTAATAAAGTTCAGATGTCAAATGATTCTATGAAAAGGCAACAACAGCAAGACAGTATCGATCCCAGCTCCCGCATCGATTCGGATCTTTTTAAAGATCCTTTAAAGCAAAGAGAATCGGAGCATGAGCAGGAATGGAAATTTAGACAGGTATGTGGGTTGGTTTTTTGTTATTATTGTTGTTGTTTTGTTTTGTTTTGTTTTTTTGATGATTTGGTTTTTAAATTGCATTTTAGCTTTTCGGGAAAGAGGGGTTTTTATGTCATTTCAGAATACAGTTCTTAATAGAACCTGAACAAGCGTTAAAATAGATTTCCCTTTTTGGTAAAGTATATATTCATATTGGTCTTAGATATTTATTGAAGTATTATAGATAATATACTGCTACAGGCGAAATGACATGCTATGGTGATAATCCCTTGTTAAGAATTTATTAGGAAGCAGTGTGCTAACTACTTACATCATGTGATAAACTTTGAACTATTTTTTTCTCCATGATAGTTGTTTCCTTCATGTTCTTTTTTTTTTTTTTTCCATCTTAACAGCAAATGCGTCAGAAAAGTAAGCAACAAGCCAAAATTGAAGCCACACAGAAGCTGGAACAGGTAAAAAATGAGCAGCAGCAGCAACAGCAGCAACTACAGCAACAGCAGCAGCAGCAACTTGGTTCTCAGCACCTTCTAATACCTTCTGGTTCAGATACTCCAAGTAGTGGAGCACAGAGTCCCTTGACACCTCAGCCTGGCAATGGAAATGCATCTCCTGCACAGACATTCCATAAAGACCTATTCTCCAAACACCTACCCAGTGCCCCTACTTCCACACCTTCAGATGATGTGTTTGTCAAACCACAACCTCCACCCCCTCCTTCAACCCCATCCCGAATACCCATTCAGGAATGTCTTTCTCAGTCCCAGAATTCTCAGCCACCTTCTCCACAGATGTTCTCACCCGGATCATCTCACTCCAGGCCACCTTCTCCAGTGGATCCTTATGCAAAAATGGTTGGTACTCCTAGACCGCCTCCTGGGGGGCATAGTTTTCCCAGAAGAAGTACTGTTACACCAGTGGAAAACTGTATGCCTCTGTCTTCAGTATCTAGGTCCATTCAGATGAATGAAACATCAGCCACTAGGCCATCCCCAGCCAGAGATTTATGTGCTTCCTCCATGACAAACAGTGACCCCTATGCAAAGCCTCCAGATACACCTAGGCCCGTGTTGACAGATCAGTGTCCCAAACCTTTTAGCCTTCCTAGATCCCCTGTGATTTCAGAACAAACTACAAAAGGTCCTCTAGCACCTGGAACCAGTGATCACTTTACTAAACCATCTCCTAGAGCAGATGCCTTTCAAAGGCAACGGCTACCTGACCCATATCCACGACCATTGCTGACACCTGCTCCACTGGATAATGGGCCTTTTAAGACGCCACTGCACCCTCCTCCATCTCAGGATCCATATGGATCTGTGTCACAGGCATCAAGACGACTCTCTATTGACCCTTATGAAAGGCCTGCCTTGACTCCAAGGCCTGTAGATAATTTTTCTCATAGTCAGTCAAATGATCCATATAGCCAGCCTCCCCTAACTCCACACCCAGCAATGAGTGAATCTTTTACTCATTCTTCAAGGGCTTTTTCTCAGCCTGGAACCATGTCAAGGTCAGCATCTCAGGACCCATACTCACAAGCCCCAGGAACTCCACGCCCTGGTATCGATTCTTATTCTCAAACCTCAGGAACTCCTCGATCCAATCCAGACCCTTATTCTCAACCTCCTGGTACTCCCCGACCTAACACTATTGATCCATATAGTCAGCAGCCACCAACTCCCAGGCCTTCTCCACAGACAGACATGTTTGTTACATCTGCGGTAAATCAGAGACACACTGATCCATATGGTCATCATCTTGGAACATCAAGACCTGGGATTTCAGTTGCCTATACTCAGCCACCAGCAACACCAAGGCCAAGAACTTCAGAGGGTTTTACTAGGTCCTCCAGTGTAAGACCAGCCCTCATGCCAAACCAGGATCCTTTTTTGCAAGCAGCACAAAACCGAGTACCAGGTTTACCTGGCCCTTTGGTCAGGCCACCTGATATGTGCTCCCATTCACCCAGGCCACCTGCGCCTGGCCTTACAGACACATTCAGCCGTGCTTCCCCATCTGCTGCTCGTGATCCCTACGATCAGCCTCCAATGACTCCCAGACCTCAGTCTGACTCTTTCGGAACTAGTCAAGTTGTCCATGATCTTGTTGACCGTCCAGGTCCTGGGTCAGAGGGAAACTTCAGCACTTCTTCAAACCTTGCTGTAAGCTCCCAAGGACAGCAGGTCTCCAGTGTCTCCCAGCTTCCTGGACCTGTGCCAACTGCAGGAGGCACTGATACCCAGAACACTGTGACTATGTCTCAAGCTGACACAGAGAAACTGAGACAGGTAAATATTACAGTGTTTTAAAATGTTTTTAACATTATCTGTGGAAGTTCCTCATTAAGTCAAATGGTAATTTCTTCTACACAAATGTTAAAGTTTCTTTTTAAAATTATTATTTAGAGTTGATTAAGGAAAAATGAAAATGATAAAATTAATGTCAATTAAGTTGTATTTAACTTGGATCTTATTTCGTTCTTTATGAATTTGTTGAAAGATCTTTAAATATGAAAATTCTTAACTTTTTACGGTGGTTATTTGACCAAGGAAAAAGACCCAGATCACCAGTTTTTGTTGTCATTTGTTTGGTTTTGGGGTATGTGTGTGTGTGTGTGTGTGTGTGCATATTTAGTAGTTAAATATAAGTAGTGCTTTTATGACACTTTAAAGCATTTTAAAATTTTAAACATTAATTTAGTCATATAATGGAAACATTGGGAGTTTTAAAAATGTTTATTTATAAATCTCTGCCATTTTGTTTCTTTCTGTTTAGCGGCAGAAGCTGCGTGAAATCATTCTTCAGCAACAACAGCAGAAGAAGATTGCTAGTCGCCAGGAGAAGGGGCCTCAGGATACACCAGTAGTACCTCATCCAGTGCCCCTTCCACACTGGCAGCCAGAGAGCATCAACCAGGCTTTCACTCGACCTCCACCTCCCTATCCCGGGAACATTCGATCACCTGTTATCCCTCCACTAGGACCTAGATATTCAGTTTTTCCCAAAGATCAACGTGGACCCTATCCTCCTGAGGTTGCTGGTATGGGGATAAGACCACATGGATATAGGTAATACTTTTAATTTCCCGCTAGATTTAAGTTGATATTGGACGAAGGAACTAGACAAATATTATTATTGTGCCAGAAGGTATTACAGATTTCTGCTTCCTTTATCACTGTGAGATACAGTCATTCTTTTTTTAAACTAAGGGAAGGTCGTGGAGTTCTTCCCTCTAAGAACTCTAAAGCTTCTTGGTAGACCCTTTGTCATTAAATATTGACAGAATATCTGTAATCTTAATGATTTAGTTTACCATTCCAGCCAACTCATATCTTCCAAACTTTAACTACTGCATCCTAATGAAGCTTCTTATTAACTGACAGATGATAATGGTACATTTTACTCATTTAATTTAAAATGTAAGATGCTCTTAGAGAGCTGCAAATTGGGAAGGTGCCTTCCTTTAGAAACTCTGATACCATTGACTTGTAGAGTAGGCCGAGATGTATGACAGCTCCAAACTTGCTAGTCATATAAGGAGAGAGCTCTTTAATGTGGCACACAACTTAAACTTGCACTGTATCTGTTATATTTTTTATTTCATTTCTCTTTATTATATTTTAGTTGTGGTTTGTGCCCATTGCTGTTTTGTGTATTTAAAAACCTTGTGTAGGGGGAATGTGGTAGAAGTGCATGTGGAGGTCAGAGATTGATGCCGTTTGTCTTCTACCACTCTTTACCTTATATTTTTGAGATAAAGTCTTTCATTCAACCTGGAACTAGCCAATATGGCAAGATTAGTTTTCAAGTGAGCCTTAGGGATGCTTTTGTCTCCCACCCACTAGAATTATAGGCAATTTTTTTGCATGTGAGAAGGGAATACAAATTGTGATTGTCATGCTTGCTCAAGAGAAGTTCTCCCTCCTTCCCTCCCTGTCTTTCTTTCTTTTGAAATTCTATTTGGGTATGCAAGACACACAACACACGTGGCAGCCAAAGAACTGTGTGGAATCAGTTCTATCCTTCATGTGTCCAGGGAGCCATACTCAGGTTGTTTACAGGGCAAGTGCTTTTCCTCATTGAGCCATTTCACTATCCCAGTTCTGCCTATTTAAAAAAAAATTAAAAGTTTTTTCATATTATGTATTTTGATCATGATCTTTTCTTCTCTCAAGTCCTCTCAGACTTGCATTTTCCCTGTCATTGGGCTTAGCAACAGTATTTCTATTTATATGTATACATAGAGTAACTTAAAACTTTTTCTTTTCTCATTCCAATTCTAAATTAATCATCATTCCTAATTATTTGAATGTTTTGTGTTTTTCTTTTTTTGCTTTTAGATTTGGATTTCCAGGACCTGGCCATGGTCCCATACCAAGCCAAGATCGCTTCCATGTGCCTCCTCAACAAATACAGGGATCTGGGATTCCTCCACACATAAGAAGATCAATGTCTATGGAAATGCCTAGACCTTCAAATAATCCACCAATAAACAATCCAGTTGGGCTTCCTCAGCATTTTTCACCACAGGGCCTGCCAGTTCCGCAGCATAACATACTAGGCCAAGCATTTATTGAATTGAGGCATAGAGCTCCTGAAGGAAGGTCGCGGTTGCCATTTGCTGCTTCTCCTGGCAGTATTATAGAGTCACCTTCTCATCCCAGACATGGAAATTTTATTCCCCGACCTGATTTTCCAGGCCCTAGGCACACAGACCCTATGAGACGACCTCCTCAGTGTCTACCTAATCAGCTACCTGTGCATACAAATTTAGAGCAGGTCCCACCATCTCAAGAGCAAGGTCATCCTGCTCACCAATCTTCTATTGTCATGAGGCCTCTAAGTCATCCCTTAGGTGGTGAATTTTCTGAGGTTCCTTTGTCTGCATCTACTCCAGCTGAAACAACACCCGATGCCCTGCAGATAGCCAGTCAACCCTCTGATGGTCTGGAGGAGAAGCTAGACTCTGATGATCCTTCTGTGAAAGAACTGGATGTGAAGGACCTTGAGGGAGTTGAGGTCAAAGACTTGGATGATGAAGATCTAGAAAATTTAAATTTAGACACAGAGGATGGCAAGGGCGATGACCTGGACACTTTAGGTAATTTGGAAACAAATGATCCTAACCTGGATGACCTCCTAAGGTCAGGGGAATTTGATATCATTGCTTACACGGATCCAGAACTTGACTTAGGGGATAAAAAAAGCATGTTCAATGAGGAATTAGATCTTAATGTTCCAATTGATGATAAGCTAGAAAATCAGGCTGTATCAGTTGAACCAAAAAAAAGGGATCAAGAAGAAAAAACTATGGTTCTCAGTGATAACGATTTGCCACAGAAAAAATCCACTGGTAACAGTGAGATAAAGACAGAAATCCTATCTCCACACCCTAAAGAAGAAACAACAAATGAAATGAAGAAAAGTGATGACAATAAAGGTGATGCCGACACTCTGTGCTCACAGGCTTCTTCGCATACAGACCGGAGTGAGAGGGAAAAGACTCCTTTGCTGCCCACTGATCCAGACATGCTTGAGAAAAGAAACAATCGGGAAAATGCTGGCTCTGGTATCAGTGCTGTTCAAGGGTCCACTCCTCTGCCTGCTCGGGATGTGATGAACTCTTGTGATATAACTGGATCAACTCCAGTCCTTTCAAGTTTACTTTCTAATGAGAAATGTGATAATTCAGACATTAGGCCTTTGGGGTCTTCCCCACCAACTCTGCCAATTTCACCACCCACTCATGGGTCAAGTTTGCCTCCTGCTTTAATAGTACCACCTGGCCCTCTTTTGGATAATGCCATGAATTCTAGTGTAACAGTGGTCCCTAGGGTAAACCATGTTTTTTCTCAGGGTGTGCCAGTAAATCCAGGATTTATTCAGGGTCAATCATCAGTGAACCATAATTTAGGGACAGGGAAACCTACAAATCAAACTGTGCCTCTCACAGATCAGTCCAGCACCAGTGGCATGCCTGGACCACAACAGCTAATGCTTCCTCAGACATTAGCCCAGCAGAACAGAGAGCGGCCCCTCCTTCTAGAGGAACAGCCTTTGCTTCTACAAGATCTTTTGGACCAAGAGAGGCAGGAACAGCAGCAGCAAAGACAAATGCAAGCCATGATTCGTCAGCGGTCAGAGCCATTCTTCCCTAACATTGGTAGGAAATTCCTTGTGTCTCAAAGTAAATTATTGGGGGCATTTGGGTACATGCAGCATGCTTCTAAGGTCTCATTATTGAAATTTCATTTGGAGTAGAGCACTGAGAATTTTCTGTCTTCTTGAATCTTTAAAACAGGAATTTTAGATTCCTTCCAGGACAGTCAGCATGATGAAAACTTTGAATTATGACCTCATTCAATTCAGCTTTTATAGTGTTAATGGAAACTAGTCCTTTTTTAGTTTTATTTGCCAGTTGTTACCAACGAATCTTTTTTCAGAATCATGAGAAGATAAATTTAAAAAATTATGATAGAAATAAAGCTTCTTGTTGTTTGTTTTGGTTTTTCGAGGCAGGGTTTCTCTGTAGTTTTGGAGCCTGTCCTGGCACTAGCTCTTGTAGACCAGGCTGGCTTAGAACTCACAGAGATCCGCTTGCCTCTGCCTGCCGAGTACTGGGATTAAAGGCGTGCGCCACCACCGCCCGACTCTTTTTTTTTTAAATATTTATTTATTAATTATGTGTACAGCATTCCTTCCATGTGTGCCCGCAAGCCAGAAGGGGGCACCAGGTCTCATTATAGATGGCTGTGAGCCACCATGTGCTTGCTGGAAATTGAACTCAGGACCTCTGGAAGAACAGTCAGTGCTCTTAACCACTGAGCCATCTCTCCAGCCCCTTGTTGTTTGTTTACAAGTGTTTGGTAATATTTTTTGGTTTTTTGTTTTCCCCACAGAAGTTCCTTTCAACTTAGTTTTGTTGATTTACTAATTTTAAGAAAAATAGAAATCCATGCAGCCCATATTCTTCAGTGCCCTGTCTTATAAGAATTAAAAATCAATGGGCACATATCTGAGGAATATTTTCTTTTAAACAATAATGACAATAAAAGCTTTTTATCAACATTGCAGTACAAATTCCATCATTTGATTCCTTTCCCCACTGAGATGCAAAGAGATGCTCTTTCAGTATCCTCTCAATAGTTTTACTATGTAGGTATATGCTAAAGACATTGGTAGCTTTTCCTTTCTTTTAAAAACTGATAACTAATTTAGTGGAATTCTTTAGTTTTGGAAATAACTGCAAATTCTTATTTCTTTTGTTGCATCTCCAAAGAAATCATTCTAATTAGCATTGTAAAAGTTTGAACCAATAAGAGTTTGAACAATATACCTGCATATTACTGTTATGATTGCCTATAGACTGACAGACTTGTTCTATTTTCTTAGAGTTATGGATACCTGAAATGTAGCTAAATTCAAGATTAGGTTGTCACCACTTTTGGATTCTCCTATGTAGCATAGAAACATGTAATGATTAAAGAAAATAAGAATCTATAAATTATGTAATAATTGTGATACTTAAGTTTAGTACTTTGTGTATCTTGAACCATGAACTTGAGCTATGAAATAAGTAATGTCAAAATACATTTCTTCTTTAGATTTTGATGCAATTACAGACCCAATAATGAAAGCCAAAATGGTGGCTCTTAAAGGCATAAATAAAGTGATGGCACAGAACAATCTGGGCATGCCACCAATGGTAATGAGCAGGTAGGTGGAAGTGCTCTTCTTCTTCCTGGGCATGTGGATGTGCATGGAAACACTGGGATCATAAAAGCTCAGAAATCTATCTTCTGAAAGTGAAGAATATTTAAATTCAGCTGGATGTGATCATACATAAAGTGTTAGGCAGTTTATTTTGGGGGGGAGAATAAACAATAAAATAATACACATTGGGAAGACTGACTTGCTCATTGACAACATCAAACGTGTGTGTGTATGTGTGTGTGTGTGTGTGTTTAAGTAAGTATTAGCACTATTAGATTTTTTTCTTATTTGAGAAGCTCAGTGGTTAAGGAAAATATAATTTCAGTTCTGAAATTAAATATTCCCAAACTGACTTTGGATTTGAGAAGGGGATATTTGGATACTGGTAGTGGAATAATTTTAACACCTAACAGAAAAATGGAATTTGTACATTCAAGAAGGTTAAAGTTAGAGTGGTTATGTACCCTAGTGGAGTATTTCCTAAATCTTGATCATTTTCCATCTTCAAAAAAAATTTTTTTTCATACAGTTTCTTTGCCCTACTACAGACATACTAGATGGGGTGTCTAGGGATACTACCTGTATGCTTGTGTTTTTGACTAGCACCTTGAATGGCTCTGTATTTTATTGCTGTTTCTGACTTCTGTCAGAACAGTAACAGATCCGTAATGATCCTGCTGAAAAATTATAAAGGGGAGTATAAATGATTATGGAATTGAATATAGAGTCTGTATAGGTTAAAGATACAGGCATATGTTTAGAGAACTGTGCAGATACTCTGGGTATGATTAAGGTGCATTTTTTTTAGGTCAAAATAGAGATAAGTGATTTGTGAAGATTTTCATTACTGAGCAGGATTTATTTATTAGTGCTTTTCTTCTCACAGGGTAACTTTATGGCATAAGTCTTTTAAAGCTTGAAACCTTTGAAATTCTTCTCAGATATATAATAAAAATACAAAATTGAAAGAAATGAACTATATTTAAAACTATATTATTAATATATGATTATATTGATAAGCACTATAAGCTGTAAATTTCATAACTACCACAATTTCAAGGTACTGATTAGCAATGACCTACTAAGTATATGCAACACTTGATAGGAGCATGTAGTACTGTATTATTTTAACTTGATAGTCAGAGTCTAGGAAATGCTAGAATTTTTTAGCTTTTAATTTAAGGGCCTCATAATCAGAAATCTAATTGTGTCTGAGTCTGTTAGACATGCAGTAATTTGTCAGCCACATGGTAAGTGTACTGATGACTGTTCTGAGTGCTTTGCAGAACAAAGAAAGATAGTCCCTTCTGAGTGTAGTGTGGTATGTTAATGATGTGGGCAGACAGCCAGTGACCAGAGCTATATTAGGGAGAAAGGAGATAAATTAGTCAAACTTTTGAATAAGAAATCACAGATATATACTCTAATATATGTCTAATGACATAAAAGCTTCTTTACAATATTTGGGATATATTTTGAAATCGTACTGTATATATATCTTTTTTTTTTTTTTTTGGTTTTTCAAGACAGGGTTTCTGTGTATGTATGTCTTAACATGTTAAAACATTCACTGACTCAGTAGGATAGACATGTTTTCAAATAAGCCGTAATAATTCTGTGGCAGTTATTGGCTTAATTAGAATAATGTTTCTCCAGATGGATTTATCAATAGAGGTTTGTTACCAGTTCTGTTTTTAACTTTAAACTGTGTTTAACCATTAGATATAAATACATACGAGAATGAGTAAAATTTCTTTTGAGATAATTCTTTATATATAAGTGGCACCTCCCCTCAGCCCTTCCACCCAAGCCCCCAGTGTCTTATTCTGTAGCCCAAGTTGGCTTGGAACTCAACCTGGCCTTGAGTTTGTGGCATTCCTACTTCCTCACTCTCCTCATGAACCATAATAGATTTTTAATAGATTACAATTGGAAAAAAATTCTTACTTTATATATTGAAGCTAGATTTTCACCATAATTGTATCCTAAAAATATATTGCTCCTGTAAGAGCACAAGCTCTGGATGGAATAGCTTAGCTGACTTCTTATGCAGTCCTCATGAAGATAGCTGCCCAATCATCCTCAGCTTTCATCCATAGTGAAAGGAAAGTGCTGGGTGCATATTTGATGAAGTTAAGGGAAGGGCTGTTGAACACCATGAAGATGGTTGTAGTAAGTCTCGGGCGGGAAACATTGCCACTGCTCTTCTCTTCCTTAGAAGAGAACATTACTAGGCACCTATGTGACTGGTTCTCAGCTCGTCATTTGATACTGTGTGATTCCTTTACAGATTTCCTTTCATGGGCCCATCAGTGGCTGGAACACAAAACAGTGAAGGCCAGAGCCTGGTGCCTCAAGCTGTAGCTCAGGTAATGCTGCTCAAATCACTCATTTATGGAGGATGCATAGCTCTATGTCTTACTAAAGCCAAATCATAGTGAAGCCCCTCCTAGAAAGGAATAGGGGCCAATCTTCTGGCAACACAGTTGAAAACAGATGTGTTGTTGCTGTGTAAACAAAACACAGATTATAAATACTACAATTTCTGCACAGGACTTGCACACATTAAAGATTAAAAATCACTTGGAAGGAGACTAAGTGCTTTGGGCTTCTGGCTTTATATTCATTTATAACTCCTGAAAGACATTCCATAGCCTGTTCGTTGTAATTATTCCATCACATTTAAAATGTAAAACTGCTGACAACAGGGGAAAATGTCTGTAATTGTATTATGTATAATCATTCCATCAGATGACTTTGACTATTGAGCATTTATAATCAACTTTAAGTGTAAACATTGATGCTATGTTCATGGTATCAAGTCTGAGAACAATAACTCTTTTCATGTGTTAGTTTCTGTGTTGATTTTTAAAACATGTATCTGTTTAGTACATGTGAACCTTTTTCTGTGTACTTTTGGGATTATCATCTACTCTTCCCATTATAATTTATATTTTTTATACAGATAATTCTTGGCTTTTCCTTATTAAGGGAGAAACACCCTTTGACGCACTGGAAAGGCATAAGCATAGTTGAGTTTTTAAAATTCTCAGTTTTTCTGTGAATTCAGGGTGCACTTTCAGCAAGTTCTTGAGCCATTCTTTACTGCTATTTCAAATGTTACACCAGTTCTCCTGCAGTACTGTAAGACTGAAAATGCCGGGGCTGGAGAGATGGCTCAGCGGTTGAGAGCATTGATTGTTCTTCCAGAGGTCCTGAGTTCAATTCCCAGCAACCACATGGGAATAATAAGATCTGGTGCCAACTTCTGGCCTGCAGAGACACATGCAGGCAAAACATTGTATATATAATAAATAAATATTTAAAAAATGATTGAAAATGCCATATTCTGACTGTTGAACACAGCTCATGTCTAACAAAACTTGTTTCAAATGAGTAAATGGTTTTTTTTTTTTTCATGGTTCTATTTATCAGGAAATTGTGACATTGTCAGCTATTTAATCACTGTGAAAGAAGCAAGGCAGTAGTTAGAACACAGGACTGACATTATAATGAGTGCATTTTCTTTTATATGTATACTACATTAATTCTTGCTATAATTGGCCTTTTGCTATATAGTACTATTTAGTGATTCTATAACATGTTTATGAATTTTTTGACCAAAATAAAAACAGGTAGGCATCATCAAAACATCAGATTTCATGTGAATTTTTAGCCTAACCATGACAATATTTGATCTAACCTCGTATTATATTTAAGATGAATAATTTATTATTTATTTTCCAACAAAATATGGAAAATATAGTTCAAAGATAGAAATAAATGTTCAGATATTAAACCGTTGCCCAACTAATTTATTCTAGTTTTTATAAGAAATGAAAATTTTATAGATGTTTTAAAAAATTAAAATTTTTCTATTTTTTTTTTTTCATTTTTCCTGCATTTTGAAGTTTTCCCCCCCTTAAACTGAAGTATGGAATTAAACATATTTGTAAATTTTACTTATTTTAGGATGGCAGTATAACACATCAGATTTCTAGGCCTAATCCTCCAAATTTTGGTCCAGGCTTTGTCAGTAAGTATAAATCTAATAAGTTACCTGTTTTCTGGGGGTTGCTTGTTTGATTATATCTGTGTTGTTTGGAAACCTTGGAGTTAGTGTAGGAGTGTTACTGTAAGCCTGAGTGCCTCCTCTTTTACCAGCGTTCACTGTCCTCTAGGCGTCTTTACATCAAGGCATGTGTTTTCATTGCTTTTTTTTTCTGCTGTGCATGAAGAATTAGTTAGAAATAAATACTTTAATGCAGGAAAATCATCTTTCCTATTTTCTTCAACATTGTTGCTCTTTTTAAGATAGATATGGCACTTTCCAATCAATAGACTTAAACCACGTTTGCTCTCATGACAGTCTGCCTATGACAAGGACACTAATTGGGGAAAAACAAAGGGAATATGTTTATAAGAAGCTGGGTTGTAGCATGGTGTGAAGGTCACGTGTGCAAGATGCCACTGAATCCTTCTAGCTGTCCTTAGGGGTCCCAAGGTGGTTCAGGATAGCATTTAACGTTCCCTCAAACTGAACCTTTCTGAAATCTTCAGACTGTTTAGCTAACTTTTTTCACCATTATCTTTCATTTTGCTCACCTCTGCTCTCCTGGTTCCAGAAACCAGAAAGGCTTTCCTTGCGGTAGGTCTCATTCTACCAGAAGCAGAACTTCTGAAACCTTGTGAAAAAGCCTGTTCTTGACAAATGTCCTTCAAATTTAGTGCACTAGATTGCACATTCATACATATACTAGAACTTTTGGGTTTAGGAACAAACCCAAAGTCTGACCTTTTGAAATTCCCCCGCATTAATTATGATCATAATTTGAATACATATTTGTATTAAAAACAAGTAAACTATTATAACCAACTGGCTTTTTCTGGCTGTATTGTGCCCATTGGATTTGGTTGGATCTTAATGTATGACAATATTCTGTTATCATTGATGTTATTTTCAGCTAATGTCCTTCTAGGATTGTGATTTTCTTTGTCTTCTAGTCAGTGAAAAAGGAATACTCAGAATTTTTCACTACATGAGATGACCTTTTTTGGAGACTTGGCATCAGTGGGATAAAATGCTCTAAGAGAACAATGAGGAAATATTAGTATGAAACAAAGATGTGGGGAGAGGCATTAGCAGTCTTAAGAGTTGAGGAACAGTTTGCTTGGTTAGCTTTCACCTCCCCTGGTAGACATAGAAATTACAAAATTAATGAGTTAGTGTTTTCAACTCACATATTTCCTTTATAAAAATGTAGATTTCAGATTGCTTCTTATGTTTTCTGGGTTTCACCTCCCTGTTTAATATATGTTCCCCCCCACACTAAGATATAGGGAAGACAGTATCAATTGAGAGAAATCTGCATGGGAAATGACTACCTAATCCATGCTCTGGAATTTAGTGGGATATATTTTTCTTGCCTCTATGATCTGTAAAACTGAATTAATAAAATGCACATACAATTTAATATTCAGTTTGGTTTATGGATTAGATAATTTGATGGTTCTTTTGGAAGATCGGAATTGCAGAACTTATAAATATTAAGTTAACCAGTGTTTAATCAAGCATTCTCTGGCTTTCTTGAGTAAATGCTTTTTCTAAAAGCTGATACTTTATAGTTATATAGGGCTCTAATATTTAGAATTTTGTTTTCAATTTTTCTTTTAAATATTCACAAAGAAATTGTATCTTCTTACAAATGAACTTGTTTAACTTTTAATAGTCTTGAACTCTTTAGAAAATTAACACACTTTTAATTTTGATTTTCCCCTCAGATGATTCTCAGCGTAAACAGTATGAAGAGTGGCTGCAGGAGACTCAGCAGCTTCTTCAGATGCAGCAGAAATACCTTGAAGAACAAATTGGTGCACACAGAAAATCCAAGAAAGCTCTTTCAGCCAAACAGCGCACAGCCAAGAAGGCGGGGCGAGAGTTCCCGGAAGAAGATGCAGAGCAGCTCAAACATGTTACTGAGCAGCAGAGTATGGTTCAGAAACAGCTCGAGCAGGTACCAGACAAGTTTTTAAATGGATGGAAGTCGTTCGTCATTGAAGAGCTGTTTTGTGTGGCATTTATTCAACGGCTCAGTGTTTTATTTTATGCTGTTATATGGCATGCAAATTATACTACACTAGGACCTCTTAATACCTGAGGAAGTAGCTGTCTAGTCCTATCTTAGTGATGCTTGCTTTTGTTTACCAGCCTACTGATTGTCAGTCATTCAGTGATCCTGGAATGGTTGGATAAAGTAGCTATTTTCAATTGTACTAAGAAATCACTGCATCAGGTATGGTGGTACACACCTCTAATCCTAACACCTAGGAGGCAGAGGCAGGTAAATTTCTGAATTCCAGGCTATCCCTATCTAAATAGTGAGTTCCAGCCCAGCTAGGGCTATATAGTAACCCCCCCGCCCCAAACACACATACACTTTATTTTTTTAAAGAAAAAAAAAAGAAAATTAAGTCACTGTACCATACACATGCTCTCCTATCATTTGATAGGTTAAGGCTAACAGAGAGACTTCATGTTGAAGTGAGAATCTGATCTGACAAGTGCTCGATCACCTCCATGTTTATCTTTACCATGTCCTTTGGTCTCTGATTTCTAATGAAAGTTCATATATAGCATTTGAATGACTATAAATATGGTTGGTGTTTTTGTTTTTTCAAGGCAGGGTTTCTCTGTGTCGCCCTGGCTGTCCTGGAACTCACTCTGTAGCACAGGTTGGCCTCAAACTCACAGAGATTGTTTCCTGAATGATGCACAATTAATAAAAGCTCAGAGACAGAAATTGGGGTTAAACCTAAAAGTCAGAAAAGCAAAGCAGCTATCCACTGGCTCTTAGCTCTACTTCCATCCGAAATGGCAATCCTGTCTCCAGGAATCTCAGAATGAGACTGTCTGAGAACTGCTTCCTCCTGTTTTATAATCGTCTCTAGTTCTGGGATTAAAGGTGTGCACCATTACCACCTGGTTTCTATGGCAAACTAGTGTCACTACTGGGATTAAAGGTGTATCATTGTGACTACTGGGATTAGAGGTGTATGCCATCGCTGCCTGGTCTGTAAGGCTGGCTAGTGTGGCTGTTTTACTTTCCTGCTCCTCAGGCAAGCTTTATTTATTAAAATACAAATGAAATGCCACTATACTCGAGTGCTAGGATTAAAGGCATAGGCCATCATTGCCTATGCCTTTATTTTTATGTTTATTTCTTATTTTCATCTTAAGAATCATCATTAAGTAAAGGATAGAGCAATAGTTTGGTGGTACCTAACATACATGAGATACTTAGTTTATTCTCAAGTGTCTTCAAATCACTAATAGTAAACTTTAATCTCAGCTCTCAGGAGGCAGAATTCTCTGAATTAGAGGCTAGCCTGGTCTACAGGTTAGCCAGAGCTGTTACACAGAGGAACCCTGTCTTAAAAACAAAACAAACAAACAAAAAACAGTAAAACAAAAGAGGAAAAGAAAAAAACCTAGAATATCGTGAAAAGGTGTAGACAGAAGTTTCTGTCCCTCTGAGTTCCACAGCTGTTCAGTCCCAAAAAAATACACAGAGGCTTATATTAATTATAAACTGTTTGGCCTATTATCTTAGGCTTATTATTAACTAGCTCTTACAACTTAAATTAACCACTAATTCTTGTCTATGTTCAGCCGTGTGACTTGGTACCTCTTCTCAGTGAGGCATTCTCATCTTGCTTCCTCTGAATCTGGCTGGTAACTGACTCTGCCTTTCTTCTTCCCAGAATTCTCTTAGTCTGGTTGCCCGCCTATATTTCCTGCCTGGCTACTGGCCAGCCAACATTTTATTAAACTAATACAAGTGATAAATCTTTATAAGGTACAAGAACATTGTCCCACAGCAAAAAGGGACTTATTTCCAAAAAAATGAAACCATTTTGCTGTTTTCTTTCATTATATACCAGGTATTTCTAAGAATTGTTTAAGGTTGAAAAGAAAGTTTTAAAATTACTTTGAATTTTAAAAGTTTAAAATGAAGTGTTCAAGATGAGTCCATAGCTCACTCAATTATTTACCTTAATGCATTAGTACCATAGGGTTCTTATAAATGTTTATAGACTAGACACAGTGGCACATACTTGTCCTAGCTAATTGAAAAGGCTGAAATGGGAGAATTATTTGAGTTCAGTACCGGCCTGTGTAACACAATGAAATCCCATCTCAAGGAGAGAAAAGAAAAAAGGCACCACCTCCCACCACCAAAGTTTTGGGATAACTAAAGAAAATTTAGTGTATTGTAAAAATACATAGTAATGAAATGAATGAAACTGCTGATACATGCGTACAACTTGTATTTCAAGAGTATTACATTGAGCAAAAGGGGCTATTTCCAATAATTTCTGTAACATTGTAATGATAAGAGTTACAGAGATGAACAGTATATTAGCAGTAACTATGGGGAAGACAGAAAGAGTTTGATTCTAAAGAGTTTTCTATTGATTACGGTAATGACTATAATTTCTCTGTGTACTAATAGTTCATAGATTTGTACACCAGAACTTAAACTTTGCTTTTGTTTTAAGTTGCAAAATATAAAGAAATCAAAATATTATTATTAGAGGCAGACAAGAGATTCATAGTGTATGGGTTCATAGAAATAGAAGTGTTCCCTGTATAATGAAACACTCCAGGAAACACCTCTCTCTTGTTTTATTTGACCTTGTCTACAACTTGAAAGTATTGTTATCATCACCGCTTGATACTTAAAAGAAACTGGCAAGTTCGTCCAGGCCAGGTTACATGCTTGCTCATTAGTTAACTGTTAGATGAGTGCTTTAGACTCAGCTGTCTTCGTCCAAGACACAGATGTCAGCACAATGTACCTACAACATAGTTATATTGTCTTCATTGATTAACAAACTAGGACTATTACAGAATAAGAGCTTCTTTTCTCTTTAGATTCATTCTCTGGACCTCTGTTCATTGATGGTAAATACTCTCTGTTTAAAGCAGATAATTACATCATATTTTTAGTCTTTTTGCTTATGATGAATATTATCTCAAAAGTATCTTGCTGAGTAGAACTAATATAATTTTGATGAAAGTCTAGTTTTTTGCAAATCAATTAATGAAATCCTATTTATGAGATAATGTACTTTATTTGAAAAATTAGGCAGGCTCATACTTACCACATGGTTGTCTGTAACACTCTGTAATCTCAGTAGGAAAGTAGTTTATAGATTTTGTTTGTGTGAACTGGAGAATGAACCTAAGTCTTTGCACTTACCAGTTGTCTTAGTTTCTTTTCCTGCTGCTGAGTCAGTAGTAATTTGTAGAAGGAGAAGACTGCTTATTTGTTCCTGGCCGTCCAGACCAGAATAATCACACAGAAATTGTATTAATTTCAACTCTGCTTAGGCATATTCCTGACTAACTCTTATATCTGAAATTAACCCATTTCTATTAATCTGAATTGCCACGAGGCTGTGGCCTACCAGGTAAAGTTCTGGCATATCATTCTCCTTTGGCAGCTACATGTTGTTTCCCTGACTGCCTACTCTCTCAGTATTTCATGCCTGGCTTTACTCTGCTAAGCCATGGACTAGAACAGCTTTATTCATTAATCAATAAAAGCAACACTTACACAGAAGGACATCTCACATCAAACTTAAGGAAGAAAGATTTATTTTATCTTATCTGTTATTATAGTCAAGAGAACCCTCCCCAAGGCATACCCAGAGGCGCATCTCCCAAGTGTTGCTAGATTGTCAAATTGACAAGCTAACCAGTATCCCAGATAAGCACTCTACCCCTGAGTTTTAATCTCCACCAATAGTGATGTTTTTAGAAGTAGTAAGAAATGACAGAGACAGGATTTGAGATAACTTCATTGTGTAAAGGCGCTTGTTTCCAAGCCTGAGAACCTTAATTTAATTGTTGGAACTCATAGTGGAAGGACAGAATCAACCCTAAAAGTTGGCCTGAATTCCATGCATATGTGTGTGCACATTCCCAATCACATTCTTCAAATGTCAGAAGAAAGATATGGAGGACCCTGTACATATTCCAGATATTGTTCCATATACTGTGTACATCTCATTGCCTGTCATTAATCTAGTCTAATTTTTCAGTTCCAACATGTAAACTGGTAAGAAAGACCAAAAAGAGGTAAGAATGAACTGGCAATGTGGCTTAGTGGGCAAAGGTGTGTGCTACCAAGCCTTATAGCTTGAGTTCAGTCCCCCCTCGTACTTGGTGGAAGGATGGAAACCACTCCTGCATTGTCCTCTAACTGCCACACCCACAGTGTGAGCACACACATACATAAAGTAGATTTAAACAAAACTTTAAAAGAACAAAAAGATAGAAGTTATACACTACTGGAGAGGAGACTGAACACTTTAATTTTGCAAAATACATGCTAGCTTGCCTGGAAAATCAAGTACGTAAATTTGATTACTATTAAGAGTACTGGGTTAAATATGTTAATACAAAGTGTATACAGTGACTGCTTTTTAAAGTGTGTGTGTCACTTTGTAACTTTCTTCCTCAGCTTTGTAATGAGCGGGTGGGTATCCTCAGAAAATGCATTACGTCTTCACAATGTTTGTCTAAAAGAACAAATTAATTGACCTTTGTAATTATATATTAAGAATCAAAGAAAAATAAAGCCAGGTATTATGGTGCACGCCTTTAATCCTAGCACTCAAGAGGCAGAAGCAGGCAGATCTCTGAGTTCGGGGCCAGCCTGGACTGTATAGAGAGAGACCCTGTCTCAAGCAAAACAAAGGAATCTAATTAGAAACTTGAAAATAATCACTTCAGAGCTTAGACAGGTTTCAGAAATTATCATTTGAATGTGCCACCAGTCAAATCTAGCGTTTTACCAATCTTTTAAATCTGAGAGAGGAAATGGCATATTTGCCAATAATTCTTATTTTAAACGTCATTTTATGTAATTAAAAAAATGGAATTTTAGCCAGATGTGGTGGTGCATATCTTTAATGCCAGTATTAGGAGGCAGAGGCAGGCAGATATATGAATTTGAGGCCAGCTTGGTCTACAAAGTGCATTTTAGGACAGCCAGTGCTATACAGAGAAACCCTTTCTCAAAAAGCAAAACAAAACAAAAAATCTTATTAAATGGTTACAATTTTAGTAATTATTCTTACCTTGTATATTAATGTGACTTCTATGACATTATATTTTGTTGTTTTGTTTTATCTTACTGTTAGATGTGTTGTGGTTTAAATAGCATATGAATTTAATACTTATTTCAGAAAATTAGTTTTGAATTTTTTGTGGCTATTTAATATGTGAAGAACTTTCACAAGTAAAAAATTATTTTAATATTTTTCTTTGTGTATACATATTCAAATGTAGTACAGCATACATATGGTCACATGTGCATTCCAGGTATCTAACTCAGATCATATGCCACCAAAACTATTACCAGTATTTTAGTATAGTACCTGCCTTAGTAACATTTATAATACCTGCTTTAGTAATAATTACTTTTATTGTTTCAGATTCGTAAACAACAGAAAGAGCATGCTGAATTGATTGAAGATTATCGAATCAAACAGCAGCAACAACAACAGCAGCAACAGTGTACCCTAGCCCCTCCCATCCTTATGCCAGGGGTTCAGCCCCAGCCACCTCTTGTTCCAGGTGCCACTCCACACACCATGAGCCAACCCACCTTCCCCATGGTGCCACAGCAGCTTCAGCATCAGCAGCACGCAGCAGTCATCTCTGGCCATTCCAGCCCTGCTAGAATGCCCAGTTTACCTGGATGGCAACATAACAGTGCTCCTGCCCACCTCCCCCTTAACCCTCCTAGGATTCAGCCCCCAATTACCCAATTACCTATAAAAACTTGTGCACCTGCTCCAGGGGCAGTGTCAAGTGCAAATCCACAGGGTGGACCACCACCTCGAGTGGAATTTGATGACAACAACCCTTTCAGTGAAAGCTTTCAAGAGCGGGAACGAAAGGAACGCTTACGAGAACAGCAAGAAAGGCAGCGAGTCCAACTGATGCAAGAAGTAGATAGACAGAGAGCTCTGCAGCAGAGAATGGAGATGGAGCAGCATGGTCTGATGAGTGCTGAGCTTGTCAACAGGACCCCTGTGTCCCAGATGCCGTTCTACGCTTCTGAGAGACCCTGTGACTTTTTACAATCCTCAAGACCCCTTCAGCAATCTCCACAACACCAGCAGCAAATGGGGCCAGTTTTACAGCAGCAGAATGTTCAACAAGGGTCTGTTCATTCACCCCCAAACCAAACTTTTATGCAAACCAGTGAGCGAAGGCAAGTAGGACCTCCTTCCTTTGTTCCAGATTCACCATCTGCTCCTGGGGGGAGCCCAAACTTTCATTCTGTTAAGCAAGGACCCGGAAGTCTTTCTGGGTCCAGCTTTCAGCATTCCCCATTGAGACCTCCATTCCCACCAATTTTATCAGGAACACCTCCAGGCGCTAATAGCAATGTCCCAAGTGGCCAAGACCCTGCTGTAACCCAGGGCCAAAATTATCCAGGATCAAGCCAGTCTCTCATTCAGTTGTATTCTGACATAATCCCAGAAGAAAAGGGGAAAAAGAAAAGAACAAGAAAAAAGAAAAAAGATGATGATGCAGAATCCACCAAAGCACCGTCAACCCCTCACTCAGACTCAACTGCTCCACTCACCCCAGGCATCTCTGAAACTACCTGCACTCCTACAGTGAGCACACCCAGTGAGCTTCCTCAGCATAGAGAACAAGAGGCAGCGGAGCCAGTTTGCCCACCCACTCCCAGTATCGCAGCAGGTCAGCCCAGTATAGAGTCAGAAAATAAACTTCCAAGCAATGAATTCATAAAGGGCACTCTAAATCAACAGACACATGTTAATCCAGATGCAGACAAGAACCCCATGGAACCCCCCAGCAAAGCTGAAGAAGTAAAGCTGGAAAAGGTTGAGGCAGAGTCATGCCCACGTCAGGAGGAGGCCCATGTGGAAGAGAAAACTGGTAGTAAGATTGAAGACACCAAGGCTGGTCCTGTCTCCTCAGTACAGTGTCCTTCCCATTCTGCCGGAGCCCCTGTTACCAAAGGAGATACAGGAAATGAACTACTGAAACACTTGTTAAAAAATAAAAAGGCCTCTTCCCTTCTCACCTCGAAACCTGAGGGCACTTTGTCTTCAGGGGACAGCTCTGCAAAGGATGGTAAACTGGCTGAGAAGCAAAACCCAGCAGAAGGATTGGTAAGTGTCAGTTGTGAAAACTGTAACTCACCTTTGTTTTCAAGCTATTTTAGTGGATTAATATCAACAAATTACTATATAAAACTATTTTGCAGCTTTTTTAATTCTAAAGAAGGATTTTTTTTATTTCTATGGAACCCTGTTTTTGCTTGTATTTACAAAATATATGAGTAACTTTTTGCTTGTGATATAAAACAAACATATTGTTGTAATGTATGCCTTTCAGCTGGTTATCACAACCGAGTTGGACTAACTATAGCAAAGGAAGTATTATGAACCTTTATAAGTGCATAATTTCCATTAGCCTCTTTAAAATTTAGAAGATAGCTCCTGCACTTGTCTTACTTGCCTTGAGTACTCTCAGGGATCACCCTTATTGGGAACCCATGGTGTCATAAAGCACACGATTTTAGATGTGGATACTATTTCCATCTTTGTAGTTTTCTATGTATCGATATTCTACCCATTTTAAGTGTTAACATTGGTCTTGCTTTTAATTTCTATGACAGACAATTTTCAGAACACACTTTGATTACAGGGTAACCCCATTTCAGTGAACTTCATTAAGGTGTTCCACAAGCAGGTGTTCTCTGTCTTTGGAATAGGTCTGTTTGTTGCTTTGCTCCTTGTCTTTTATAGATAGTGATGGTTTAATGCATTCACACAGCTTCCCTGGGGTGCTGCTCAGTTGGAATTTTATAATTTTCATATTTTACTTGAAGTGCAGTAGTATTCTTCCTTTTCCAAACTTGCAATTTTAAGAACGATGACACTTGTCTTCTTACAAGGATTGGCTGTAATTGCTGGCTGTAATCTTTCTCTGTTGTCACCTATCATTCAGTAGAGATTGAGTGTTGCCCCAGCAGTTGTTACTTTTGTCTAATTTGCGGTTGTGGTCTCTTCCTTCTTTTAATTTATTCTTTGAGAGTTTCATGCATGCATACAGTGCATCTTGTGGTTGTGCTTTTCTAGTTGTTTGTTACCAGTAAATATGCAGCCTAGGCCCAATCCCTGGCTGCTATCTCCAAGACATTTTGCCTCTGGGAATGCTGAATGCCCTCATCCCCAGGACCTTGGTCCCATGCCCACTGTGCTCTCTGTTCCATGTGCTGCACCCCCTTCTTTTCCCCTATCTTTTCTTAATTTCTTTTTCTTTTGTGAAACTTGGTTCTGAAATCTTGTAGATAACTTCCTGACTTGACCAATCACAGATGTGTGTGGATCATGTGTTTACATCACATCTGCTATGGCATTACTCACATAGTATCTACCTTCAGCATGTTCATACTAAAATTTGTGCCATACAAGAATGTTTAATGGCACAGAGAAGCAGGCACATGTCAAATATAAAAAGCAGAAACTAATTTATGATTATGAGCACAAGGTATAAACCTCTCTGATTAAAACAACAAAAGCCATGTGAAGCTATACATGGTGGTACTCGCCTATAATCTCAGCACTCAAGAAGCTGAGGCAGGAAGATTGCTGCAAGTTTGAGGCTAGCCTGAGCTACAAAATAAAACTTTTATTCAAAACATAAAAATAATATAAGAATAAAATAAAAAAATTTACTTGTACTTTAAAATAGTTATATCTGTTTTTAGGATAATTGTGAAAATTAGAGATAATGTCTGAAAGCATTTAAAGTGGCTGAGGTATGCGTACTTAACATGCTTTCCTGGTCAGTCTCTCATAAGCCAATTACAGAATTCTTAGGCCTTTGCAACTGAAAGTTCACTCCTTGAGGACCAGCAGCATGCACGTCACCTGGGGTGGTTTTACAAAATACCAGATTTCTTGTGCTGCTATAGTTGTAAAATCAGAATATATCATTCATCAAGATTCCCCTGGTAATAATGATGTGCTAATGATGGGGAAATGCTGCAGGCTTCCTTACACAATCATGGTAGCCCTGGTAAGGCAGAGATTGCTGGTTCATTTGGTTTAAGGTTGGGCCAAGGGCTACTTTGTTTCTCTGTACTGCTCTTGGAGAATCAGGGATCTACCCAGGCACAGGCAATGCAAGTCTGCTTCAACTTCCTCTGTTCTTTGTATGAGCTTTTTTTTTTGGTTTTTTGTTTTTGTTTTTTTCTAATGGTTGAGAGAAACCTAAGAAAAGGTAGTCATTTATGATAAATGAAAATCTTTTGAAATTTTAATTTGTCCATGAATTTTAAAAGTTTTATTGAACCATGGCCAATTCATTTGTAAAAAGCATATGGCTTCTTTTGTAGTACTAGATCAGAGCCAACAGTTCAGACAAACTGTATAGCTCATAAGCTAAAATCATTGCCCTATTTCCCTTTATAATTTTGTCATCAATATGATATTAGAACATAACTAGAAACTATAATTTTTGAAACATTCAAAAATGATATAAAACTATAAATTTTATAAACTAAATTATATAATTTTATAAAACTAAAAATTAAATAAAAACTATAAATTTTGAAACATTCAAAAATTATACGTAGAATTGATTTACTAAGTTTTGCAACTATAGTTATCAGTAGCAAGCCACTAATATTAATTTTAGAAATAAGGAAGCATGAAAAATGTTCCTATGTTTTGATATTGGTACCTAACTGAAACCTTTTTCAAGGCCTGTATTACTCTTACTTCTTTGTAACAGTGAAGGCAGAAGGAAAGGAAAGGAAGCTAGACACAGAGATGGATTCTTGTAGAGGACTTGAGTTTAGTTTCTGCACCCACATAGTGGCTTGTAGCCATTTGTAACTCCAGTTTCAAATGATCAGTGCTCTCCTGACCTCCACAGGCACCAGCCATGCATATGGTGTACATACAATGTATATATACAGATAAAACATCCACACACCTCCATAAACAAAATAAATATATCTTTTTAAAAGCAAAGGAAAGATTAATTTGCTATCATCTGATTTCTCTTTTTTTTTTTTTTTTTTTGAGTAAGTATGTAGCCATTAGGTTTTCATTCACATGTAGGGTTTGGCACTAGTCTGAGGGGTCAGTATGACATCTTACTACTTTCTAGCAGCTGTTCTCTCACCTCAGATGCATGGGCTTTAAAATGTTCTTGGAACCTGTGAATTAGCTCCAGATCTCAGATTTCAACAGTTCCTAGCTCTTATGGGGGATCAAAAATAAATCACCAAGGCACAATAATTTGGTACAAGTAAATGTACCAAAGCTGCCCAGTCATTTGGCTTGGTGCCTCCTTGACTTCAGCGTAGATAGTGAGGAGTCATACTTCATTATTCTATCTAGGAGTTTCAAACTTCCCTACAGTGCTGAGGCTGGCTATTTTTCATATTTTAATATACCTGAATGCAGAAGGTATTATTTCAGAAAACCTCACTGTGTAACTTCCCTTCTTAACATGTGATGCCATGTTAGAAATGTGAGTCACAGGATGGAGCTGGTCTAGCATGAACTAAGAATCAAACATGTGGGTAGTTACTTACTTCTTAACCTTTCCAATTACATTAGCAAACTTTGGGGGCTCAAATGCAAGGTGGTTTTGGAGGTGGCAACAACCAGTTGCCAAAATCAGATGGAGGAAGTGAAACCAAGAAACAGCGAAGTAAACGGACTCAGAGGACTGGGGAGAAAGCAGCACCTCGCTCAAAGAAAAGGAAGAAGGATGAAGAGGAAAAGCAGGCTGTGTATTCCAGCTCTGACTCCTTCACCCACTTGAAACAGGTGAGCTGTCAGAACAGCCCTTGCCACTTCCAGGAGGGGAGAGAGCAAGTGCTTTTTCAGCCCTATGAAACGGAGGCTTTCACTTAATTACAATTGCAGTTAGTTCCTAATTAAAATAGAGAGCTCAGGGATAAAGGGCATCTGGAAAGGAAACTAATAAACCTTGTTTGCTAGCAAACCTGCACTTTATCTTATTGGCACTTGAGATTTATATTCCAGTAGATGGATTGGTAGATGATGGTCAAGATTTATGTATGTTCAAAAGGAGCAGCCTCAACACTAGGAAGCGTTGTTTCCCCATTTCTTGTGACTCTGGACCCAAAGAAATGCAGCCATGGACTCTCATTTAAACTCTGCTTGTTATACCTTTGTGGTTTTACAAATGTGGGGAGGGGACACACCTCACACCTCCCCCAACCCCCATTCCCATTGACGGTGCCTGGCCTCAGTTCATGGCCTGGTTCTTACTGAACAAAGATAAGGAGCATGTTGGCATCTCTTTAACAGATGGGAATAAAACTTATTTGGCATATATCCCAGAGATTCTGTAGTTCCCAGTGTTTTGAATCTTGAAATTTTTAAGTCTTATTTTTCACAATCCTTATTTGACTTCAGGTCTTAGGAAACCCCCAAACACTTCCATGTTTGTTAATCATGTACATTACTTTTAAATGTGTTTTTTAATAGCAGCTCTCTCTGCTCCCTCTAATGGAACCGATCATTGGAGTGAACTTTGCGCACTTTCTTCCTTATGGCAGTGGCCAATTTAATAGTGGGACTCGACTTCTAGGAACTTTTGGCAGTGCCGCCCTTGAAGGGGTCTCAGACTACTATTCTCAGTTGATCTACAAGGTATGTTTCTTTGCCAGGGTGCCGCCTTGCTTCACGCTGGAGAGCTTCCCACTACTGAGGAGTGTGGCTTAGTTTTGCATCTAGTTTACATGAAGTCTCCCAAGTTTCACTGAAAGTTAGGGTCAGCTAGAAGATTCAAGGTGTATCTGGCTACGTGTTTCTAATATGTATACTTGAAATTTCATAGACATAAGAATACAAATGATGGAAAATATCCATTGTATCTTTCCATGTTGAGGAAACATGTTTTTCCTTCCTTGTAACCTTTGTTAACTCTTAAAATGAATCAAATTGACGGTACATAGTTGGAATAAAGGGTATCGTTAGATTTTTACCTTGGAAAATGAATTTTAAAAGTTTTAATATATTTCATCAAATACCTTAGGTGCTAATTGAAATTATGCACTAATTCTTAGGTTACCAAAATAGCATAAAATCAATCAAGTTAATATTACTTCTTAAATATTTTTATGATTGCATTATAAGATCACTTTACTTCGCATCTGACTTAAACAAAGCAATTATTTTGAGATGTCTGTGAGAGTGTTTGTTTTCCTGGTGGCTTTTCTTCTGTTATTAAGACAACTGTCTCTCTGCTCCCTTTGCTGTCCTTATGGCCTGGTCTTCAGTTAGAACTCCTCAGTGCAGGCTGCTCTTCAGTGATGCTTCTCTCAGTCTCCCCGTGCACTGCACTATTATGTGTAGTTATTACAGGGTGACGCCAGCACTCCTTGCGGAGACCAAGACTCTATGACAAATTGGTGACAAAATGGAAGGCTGAGAGAGATAACTGAAAATCAGTTGTATTTCTTAGTATATTTGGTATCTTTAGTAATTTTTTTCTCTTTTTACTTCTTTTAGAGATCTTGGATAATCCAGGTTCTCATCTGAAATGTAAATTGCAATTATAGGTTAAAGATGACAAACTCTACATTTCTATAGAAGTAGGATATATTTTAATGAAAGTTGAGTAAAGGAATATGTAACTGCTTTTTTGCAACTTATTCAATTTTAAAGCTGCTTTTCATCGGTTGTTGTAATCATGAAACTTAAGAAAAGTTACATAAAATAAAATTAAGTGTAACAAAAATTGGGTTCTTCATTTCAAAGCTGAATGCTCAAGCTGGGCCAAGTAGGCAATTGGATAACAACATCCCATTCTGATAACCTCATGGCTCTGTGTGTGTGTGTGTGTGTGTGTGTGTGTGTGTTTATTTTTGTGCATTTGGAAATGGAAATGCCTCTGAATTATGTTTCATATAGTCTTGCTTCCTTGTGCTAAAAATTCACAGAATTAGATTTTAGCAAGGTCAATGCATATTTGCTCAGTAGCATATAATTTAAAATTTTTTGGTCTCCTGCAGCAGAATAATTTAAGTAATCCTCCAACACCCCCTGCCTCTCTTCCTCCTACACCACCTCCCATGGCTTGCCAGAAGATGGCAAATGGTTTTGCAACGACTGAAGAACTTGCTGGAAAAGCTGGCGTGTTGGTGAGCCATGAAGGTATGATAACTTACACCGCTGAAGAATCTTCTTTTGAAAGCTGTGTATATCAAAATGTCCACAGAACTATACAGTTCCATCAGCTTTGCCCTACATACTTTGGTTCTATTTGTTTGCTTTTCCAGTTGCCAGAACTTTAGGACCGAAGCCATTTCAGGTGCCTTTCAGACCTCAGGATGACTTGCTGGCTCGAGCTATTGCTCAAGGTCCGAAGACAGTGGATGTTCCTGCCTCACTTCCAACACCACCTCATAATAATCATGAAGAATTAAGGTAGACGCTGGTGTGTGTGTGTGTGTGTGCGCGCGCGCGCGCGTGCGTCTGTTGCCTGCATGTATGTCTGAGTACTACATGTATACCTGGTTTCCACTGAGGCCAAAATAGGGCACCAGATTCCTGGAACTAGAGTTTCAGATTATAAGCACACTGCACACTGGGAATTAAACCTGGATCCTCTGGAAGAGCAGCCAATACTTTTAACCACTGAATCATTTCTCAGCCTTAGAAGCTACTTTTAAAAATTAGTTGCTCCTTTTAAAATATGTGCTTAGCATAATGTGTTTAGGAGTAGTATATAGTATACTACATAGTATATATATTACTATGTATATTATATGTACAATATATGGCATATACTATTTGCACTATTATATAGTATATAATATGTGCTCTATATAGTATAGAGTATGTATAGTATATATAAATATACTATATAGTATATAAAAACTTTTGAAGTATAAAGTACTCTTCAATAGAAACTGCCCAAGGCATCATTACTGTTAAAGTGTAATTAGTTTGTGCATTTTAATGTTTTCATAACTTAAGCATTATACACCATGATAATTAAATAAACATTAAAGTTATGAGAAAACCTCCATACCAAGTATTTCAAAGTTTTCTTTTCCAAGCTGCTTGTGGGATTTGTTGGATTTATTGATACTTGTAGATATCTAAAATTAGAGATCCACCATCATAGATACCAGAGTGCTATCATGGAAAAGAATGTGTCTCTGATACAGGAAGCTCATCATCAATTTGTATTAGTTCTTTTGCCTCTATTAATCTTCCTGGGGAATCAGCTTCGCTTAGTAGATAATTTTACTCCCCAGGTAGTTAAGAGTCTGTATGAACTTCTTTAGACTTATCTCTTTGTGGAAAATCTGATGGAGCTCTGTGTTCTGAGATGTCAGTGTCTTACTTTATTGAGAAAACTTGTCACTGGACACATCAACAGGATAGAAATTTTTTCTGTAACCACTGGAAGTGTCACTTGTTGGGGTTTGGAATCCATGTTTCCTTTCTCTTTTACCTCACAGCTAAGAATTCCCAGCTGTATCAGTACAGTGAAATTCTTTCCAGCCTTGGGAAAGAATCATACTCGGGAGTATGTATTTGGTGATCTAACACAATGTCTGTTTATTCCCTGGATTTTATATGACTGCCCAGTAGCCCTCTACATGTCTTTTTAAGTATGAGTAGAAGAAATGAAAGATAGAAGATTCATGGCAACATTCCATAGTCTTAGCTTTAAGCCTCACCATCTTTCTGTTAAACCAAAAAGAACCTTGGTTGAGAAAAGGGAGTCTGCTCTCTCCCGTCCCCACCATTTTATTATTTAATAAAATTAAGTGTCTACAGCACCACAGTTAACTGTTTTCTCTCATCTTGCCACTCTATACAACAGTAAAGATCTATCTTACAACCCCTGCCTGTCTCTTAGTCTCAGTGACTTTTTTTTTTTTTTGGCCAAGGTGTCAGTTTCCCATGCTGTGCTGTAGTCTGAACTTCTCCTTCTAGCAGGCCTTTAACTTCCATCTTAAGCTTTGTCAAAGGAATAGACATTTGTACTGTTTTGTAGTAAACTTATTTACTGTTTTCTTAGCAGAGTAATAACTGATCTAGTTGCTGCTATGATTTTGCAATTGCTGAGAGTATCCTTCCTGTGGTACTTGTGGGATTGGTGAGAAACCCCAGTGAAATTGTACATAGGGATCTGTGTGCTCCTCTTTCAGGATACAGGATCACTATGGTGAACGGGACACTCCTGACAGTTTTGTTCCTTCATCTTCTCCTGAGAGTGTGGTTGGTATGGAGGTGAACAGGTACCCAGATCTGTCATTGGTGAAGGAAGAGCCTCCGGAACCAGTGCCATCCCCCATCATTCCAATTCTTCCAAGCATTTCTGGGAAAAGTAAGAGATTGGCTTTATTAATTTAGTCTATCAAGTTACTATTATAAATATTTTGACTTTGGAAGCTATGACTACTCTTTTCTCCCCCACCCCTTTTAGGTTCAGAATCAAGAAGAAATGACATCAAAACTGAGTCAGGCACTTTATTTTTTACTTCACCTTTTGGTTCATCCCCAAATGGTCCCAGATCTGGTCTTATATCTGTAGCAATCACTCTGCATCCTACAGCTGCTGAGGTAAAAGATGGCATCACATCTTATGCTGTGGAGTGTGTCCTGTTGTTAAAGCTCTGTTAGTGACCCACAATGAAACAGAATTTGGGGTAGCAAAACAAAAGATACGGGTAGGGTGGAGAGTCACTTCAGATATCCAGGCTGCTCTTTAGTACTATTAAGAGGTTTATCTGAGAACTAAGCCAAGGTATAAAAATAGGAGCTGAGAGTTCATGTACTCTTGTAAAAGGGTGTGTGTTTTAGAGAATTCTAGAAAGAAGCCTTTCCACAACTTTACATGTTGTAAAAGTTCACCATTGAAAAACCATAGTCAATAGTCAAGTCTATAAAACCACTAGAAACTTTCTCCAGGCAGCTGATGGCCGACAGCACTTACTTATCTATCAAGGACTTGTTTTAAAAACTCGAAGTTTCATAGCGACATTTTGTTGAAGGTCAGACTTAAAATTCATGATGTTTGGTTGTTGCAAAACTGTTGTGGACTTTTTTCCAGAGCTAGATAGGAGTTTTCCCATAAGTACCATGAGGGGCTTTTCAGATACTAAGGTAGCTAGAATCACTTACTGTTTATAAATCCCAATGTTAGTTGGAACCCTGAAGATTACTTTTTATGAAAGCTTTTTTTGTATATTAGTTTATGAAATAATTTAAGTTTAAATAAGAGTAGTTGGGGTTTTTTATACTGTATATAATCCTGAAGATAGAATTATCCTAAGTATTAATTTCTCAGTAATTCACTTTTCTTCTAGGTGAGTAACACAGTGTTTAAATTTTGTTTCAGAACATTAGCAGTGTTGTGGCTGCGTTTTCCGACCTTCTTCACGTGAGAATTCCTAACAGCTATGAGGTTAGTAATGCTCCAGATGTTCCATCCATGGGTTTGGTCAGTAGCCACAGAGTAAACCCAGGTTTGGAGTATCGACAGCATTTGCTTCTTCGTGGGCCTCCACCAGGATCTGCAAATCCTCCCAGATTAGCAAGCTCTTACCGGCTGAAGCAGCCTAATGTACCATTTCCTCCAACAAGCAATGGTGAGCTAGTGAGCTTTTTGTTAACTCCAAATCCATTCTTAGTTAAAAAGCCTACTCTTTTCGAAATTTTGATTTAATTTTTAACAAATAATAAGCAATGTGTTGGTGTGTAATTTTTGATAAGTTAACCTTCTCTGGCTGTTGTTTTCTGTGACAGTATGTGAATTTCTGTGTTCTGGCCTATGGCATCAGGCTGGCCTCAAAACTGTCTGTAGCCCTGACTGCAGATGAGGCCATAGATAGAATTTTGTTTGTCTGTTCTGTTCTGCTGCTGTTGCTGTCACTTCCTCAGTTAGCCTTTATATGTCCTCTGCAGGGCCTCCTTCTTTCCACAGGGATGCCTAGGTCCCCATAGCTGAGAACTAGTTCATCTTCTTCAGGCCTGCCATGAAGTTGCTTTTTCTAGCTCACTGACATCTTGTGTGCCAGCCCTGTTTCTCACTACCTCCTCATCCCCCAGATTCCTTGTAGTATTTTGTCTGCCTTGAACTTTTTCTAGAATCTGGTTTCTTCTCTTGTCTCATCTTTGAACTCTTTTTGAAAGTCACCTGTGTTAAAGTTTTGGACTCTTTGCCATCTTATCTACTGGCTGCTTATTTCTCCTTCCATTTTCTGCCTTGACCTTCACCTCTTATCATAGGAGATGCACTCTGTATATGTAGACTTGCTCTTCTGATCCCTCATCCTTACTCAAAATATACCTTGGTTCTTATTCCCCTCTGATGCTGTAAGTCATATAAGTCATTTGTACCCATTGCTCTTTATCTCCCACAGAACTTGCAGTATCACCTTACCTGTCAAGAAGTGGGTCTAGTCTCTGTTGATGCCCTGTACACATTTGAGGATCTTAGTGCTTTGCTTTTGTTTGATTCTTTCATGCTAGCTTCCTTTCCCAGTTATTTGGGAGTGGGTGTTTTCCTTTATTTCTACTTTAGTGTCAAATATTAGATGCCTGGTCACCATAACTTAGAAGATTTTCATTAAAGCATAATATAAAGTAAGTCAGTAATCAATGTTGTAATTGATTGTTATAGTTTAATTTTATACTGTGTAATACTTGTATCTTTGGTCTGTTTTAATTGCTAACAAAAGTCCATTGCCTGTAGGTCTTTCTGGATATAAAGATTCCAGTCATGGTATAGCAGAAAGTGCATCACTCCGACCTCAGTGGTGTTGTCACTGCAAAGTGGTTATTCTTGGTAGTGGTGTGCGGAAGTCTTTCAAAGATCTGACCTTTGTGAACAAGGTACTTTACTTTTCTTCTAATGACCTACCCTACTTCCATGCTGTTGGCAGTGACTCCTGTAACAGAACAAAGTGCTTTATGGGACACAATATCCATATTAGGTGTGTTCAGCTTCAAACCAAATAGCTACAACATACTGTTAAATTGTTCATTGTTGAGGAACACATTTTTTAAATGCAGTGAGATTTTAACAGCGTAGTTTCTATTTTTGTTGTTGTTTTTTTAAAGACATTGGTCTCTCTAGACCAATGGCTGCCGGACAGTGAATGTTGGGTCAGTGCCATCACAATTGGAAGGTAGAAGACACTCACTTTTGAATATCATATGAAAACTAGCAGTCCTTGGGGGTACTGGTTTCATTAACATGTTTTATTGAGGTCCCACATATGTCTCTTTGTTTTTCAGGGTTCCCGAGAGAACACCAAAAGGATGGAAAAGGATATTGTCTTTTGTAGTAATAACTGCTTTATTCTTTATTCATCAACTGCACAAGCAAAAAACCCAGAAAACAAGGTAAAGTAAGCAAAGTATTAAAGAGGGATTTCTGCCTCATGAGTTACATGTCCCTTCTTCAGAGAGCTCTTGTGGATAATCCTAATCAGATACTGATTGAGTTGACAGATAAGCCTGAAATAGTCTTCAACTATATTTTTTCCCTGTTATATAACCTATTCGACAAAAAGTGGGAAGGTGCAAATTACATCTTAACACTCATTTATTTAGTGGTATTGAGGGTTGAATTTAGGGCCCAATACTTACTAGCCATTACTTACTTTACCATTAAGTTATTTCCTGCTCCTCTTTTAATTTTTGATTGTTGAGGTGGGTCTAACTGAGCTGCCTTGCACTCATAATCCTCCTGCCTTGGCCTCCTGCCTGGGACCCTTGCTTGTCTGCCCATCTATCTTACTTTTATTTTGAGAAAGAGTATTTTTGTGTAGCTCAAGGTGGCCTTCAACTCTCAGTCACCCTTCTGTCTCAGCCTTTAGAGTTACAGGGATTACAAGTTTGTGCCACCATATACAGATTAATTATGCTTTTATGAAAAAAATTCGTCTGTATTTTTCTTATATTCAGTTTTATATACATGTATAAATATGTAGTGTGAATGTGTATGTATGTCATGTGTATGGTGCCTCTGGAGGCCAGAAGAGGACATTGGCCCTCTTGGAGCTGAATAACAACCAGTGAGTCATAAGCCACCGTGTGGGTGCTAAGAACTGAACTCTAGAACTCTAGCTAGTGCTCTTAACTGTTGATCTTTCTCCATCCCCTAACTCAACTACATTTTAAGAGTGTAGAATTCAATAGAGCATTGGTACTAGAATGTTGCATTATACTAATTACAAACATTTTACTAAAGATTGATACTTTTATTTTATTGATCAGTAGGGCTTCTAAAAAATTTGTCTAGCCTTGCATTGTACTAGAAACCATTTTGTGCATATTCAGCTGCTCTGTATATTTAACAATGTAGTTGTTCAAATGATGTATTTTGGATGAAAAAAAATCCTGTAAAGTAATACTGCCACTCATTACAGCTTCAAGATAATTTTATTAATGTGACTCTTACAAAAGAGTATTCAAAAAACACTACTTTTTGACATGTATTAATCCCTAGTACAATATAATCCAAACTGACAAATAAATTTAGGCTTTTAATTAAAATTTTATTCCTAGGGAGTAGGAGTGGGTTTTTATCATGTAGCTTCTTAAGTGGATACCTGGAGTGGCCCATGTATTTAATATGAGGTACCTCTTAGGATCAGGATGTAACCAGAGGAGAACATAAGGCTTTACTGTTCAGATTCTGATGGGCTACCCATACCTGAGAGGTACTGGAGCTTTTCACATAGCCCGACTCCTTGAGCAGCTAGTCTCAGCTGAGGGACTCAGAGAATCCAAGTTATTTACTCACCAGCAGGGTTCTCCTTTCAATTCTGTTCTTTCACACTAGTAGATTAAGTCCAAGATTAACAGACAAAAAAAAAAAATTAATGAGATGAATTCTTTCTAGGTGATGCTGCCACGTTCTTAAAAACATTGATCTGTTGTTTAAATTGAATTAGTTCTAAAAAAAAAATGGTTTTTTGTTTTGTTACAGTTAGGAAGGGGGATGTCCCAAGAAAGTTCAAGAGCAGAACATTCTCTAAATTATGACTTTGTAGGAAAGTCACAGGGATCCCCTTTGCCCCTTACCTTCTTCGTTTTCTGATATCCCTAAATAACCATCCTCCGGTCTACTTGTTATACCTAAAAATTCACTCACCTCTATGCCTTAAGTCATATACTATTAAACTTCTCGCTAGAATTGCTTTGAGGACATGTGAATCCTTCCTTTTTCTCATGGTTTCTTTTTGCTGCCCAGGAATGCCTTCCTCCACTGCCACAGTCCCCTATGAAGGAGCCTTCCAAAGCATTTCACCATTACAGCAACAACATCTCCACTTTGGATGTACACTGTCTCCCTCAGTTCCAGGAAAAAGCTTCCCCTCCTCCATCATCTCCCATAACCTTCCCTCCAGCCTTTGAAGCAGCCAAAGTAGAGTCTAAACCTGATGAGCTCAAGGTGACAGTCAAGTTAAAGCCTCGGCTGAGGACTGTTCATGGTGGGCTTGAAGATTGTAGACCACTAAATAAAAAGTGGAGAGGAATGAAGTGGAAGAAGTGGAGTATTCACATTGTCATTCCCAAGGGGACCTTTAAACCACCTTGTGAGGATGAAATTGATGAGTTTCTAAGGAAATTGGGCACTTCTCTTAAACCTGATCCTGTGCCCAAAGACTATCGAAAGTGTTGCTTTTGTCATGAAGAAGGTGATGGGCTAACAGATGGACCAGCAAGGCTGCTCAACCTTGACTTGGACCTGTGGGTCCACTTGAATTGTGCTCTGTGGTCCACAGAGGTCTATGAGACACAGGCTGGTGCCTTAATAAATGTCGAGCTAGCTCTGAGGAGAGGACTACAAATGAAATGTGTCTTCTGTCATAAGACAGGTGCCACCAGTGGATGTCACAGATTTCGATGCACCAACATTTATCATTTTACTTGCGCCATTAAAGCACAATGCATGTTTTTTAAGGACAAAACAATGCTTTGCCCCATGCACAAACCAAAGGGAATCCACGAGCAAGAGTTGAGTTACTTTGCTGTCTTCAGGAGGGTCTATGTACAACGTGATGAGGTGCGACAGATTGCTAGCATTGTGCAGCGGGGAGAACGGGACCATACCTTTCGTGTTGGAAGCCTCATCTTCCACACCATTGGTCAGCTGCTTCCACAACAGATGCAAGCATTCCACTCTCCTAAAGCACTCTTCCCAGTGGGATATGAAGCCAGCCGGTTATATTGGAGCACACGCTATGCCAACCGGCGCTGCCGCTACCTGTGCTCCATTGAGGAGAAAGATGGGCGGCCAGTATTTGTCATCAAGATTGTAGAGCAAGGCCATGAAGACCTGGTCTTAAGTGATTCATCGCCTAAAGGTAAGATCTACTTGTTTGCTGTTATAAGACAAATGAATGTTTCATGTCAAGTGTTTGTTTTTTCCATGATAATTTCATGAGAATTTTTTTATCAATGCAAATCTTAGCCTCTTTGTATTACAACACCTTGTTCTTTGCTTTAAAGTTTATACAGGTTTGAACAGAAGAGTTGGTAAGACCTGCCTATCATTTTACCTTAGAGCCCCTCTCAGGGTCAATTACTAGAAAGCAGAGACCATATTATCTAAAGGATTGTTAAGATATTATCTTATCTCAGCTTCAGATTTAGAACTGGGAATTAGAAACTTGATTTTGTACTCTTGGGCATGTTTATCTTTTCATTTTTATTGATGTAAAAAGTACTAAGTAGTTGCTTTTAAAATGTTTTCATGGTTTTAAAAATATGACACAGTCTAAAGATATTTCCAAAGAAACTTTCAGTTTTGTGTTTTAATCTGAGAGAATGCCTATCTGTAGCCATTACTAATGGAATTAGTCACTTTTAACTGTTTTCTTTGTTACATATCCAGTTGAATTCACTGAATTCTTTCATGTTTACTGTTTGATGTCCTAAGGTGGCATAATTTCCCCCCAGATTTCAGTGAGTCTTTAAGTTGCTGACATTTAACCAACATGTTTGTTACATTGCTGGCCAACAGGTTTATTTGAAAACTAGCAGGTCTTTATGAAAGACTCTTCTTCACCCTCTCTTGGGTTTGAACAGTGTTCAGTTTTTCTCTTTGTTTAGCTAAAAGGAAATACATCATAAAAATTATTTTTTGTTCATATATAGATGTTTGGGATAAAATTTTGGAGCCTGTGGCATGTGTGAGGAAGAACTCTGAAATGCTGCAGCTTTTCCCTGCGTATCTGAGAGGAGAGGACTTGTTTGGCTTGACTGTCTCTGCAGTGGCACGGATAGCAGAATCAGTAAGTGTCCTAGTCACAGCCTGATCCAGCATGCTCAGTGTTCCCCTTGGAGATTTCCTACTTTCCAGGACTGACCCATTCTCATGAGGAAATGGGTGTGGGTGGTTAATTGGAGACCTTAGCTCTCTCAGAGGAGTAGTTCATGTCATCACGTCCTGTTTATTCACATGGTTGAAGAGGTATCCTTGGTCTGATGAAGTTGTAGTGTTTTGCAGAATATTTTCCCCCTTTTCATAAGTTTTCTTGACATTCTCCTGCTCTTGTCCAAGGGGCGGGTGGTCCCAGAGAGCAGTAGGTTACAGCAGCACTGACTAGTGTCTTCTCTGAATTGTAGGTGTATTTGGCAATGAATCTATGTAATAGTTGAGAAATGTATTTCAGAGCCAGGCCTGATGGTGAAGGCCTATAATTGCAGATACTTAGGATGTTCAAGTAGACGTATAAGTTTAAGATTAGCCTGAGTAACCTAGTGAGACCCTATCTCAAGAGTTTTAATTAAGAAAGTAAAAGAAAATAAAGGTTTTAGTTCAGTAGTGCTGGCCTTGATTGTCTTAGGGCCTAGGTGGTACTCTCAGAACTGATAAAGAAATGAATGAATAAATGGTTGGATGGACAAACGGATGGACAGACAGACAGATAGATGGGAAAGTGTTGTAGAAAATAAGACCAAGCCAGTGAGATGGCCCAGTGGGTAAAGGCACTGCCACTAAGCCTGACAACTGTAAGTCAACCCCCAAGACTTATATGGTGGAGGGAAAGAACCAGCTTCCCACAGTTTGCCCTCTGTCTTCCAGAGGTTCACCATGGCACTTGTGTATATACATACGCTTGCACTCTCTATCTGTCTGTCTGTCTCCCACAGCCCCTCCCCCCCCGCTCCTCTCCTCCATAAATACAGACAGGAATAAATAGAATAAGTTATTTTTTAAAAAAAAAAAAAGGAAAAAGAAAGACCACCTTTGGACGTATCAGCTACTTTTTTAGTAAACCTTCATTTCCCACCAATACTGCTAGAACAGTGAGTGACACCTCATATTATGATCACATTTGACAAAAGTGAGAAGTGATCCAGAAACTAAACCGCATAGGTGACCTCCAGCATCCAGACAAGTAACATTCACTAGGTTGTGACCACTGCTTCCTGATTGCAAACTGGAACATCAGACCCTAATTCACATGTAGGAAGGCTTTGGTTGGTGTATTGGTTCTGGGAATTTATCCTCTCCTCAAGGAAAGGTGGTTTGGACTTAGCAAGTTTTACTTTGGAATTTATACATTATTCAAATAGTTATGAGTGCAGGTTCATCATAGTAAATAGTTCACAGATGGGGAAGAAAACATTTCTAAATTGTTTTCACTCTGGGTCATCTTTGGCCAGCTGTAGATTATATCCTTGGCCAGATGAGTTACCTTTTTGTGTATTTTTTTTTAAGCTACCTGGGGTTGAAGCATGTGAAAACTACACCTTCCGGTATGGCCGAAATCCTCTCATGGAGCTACCCCTTGCTGTTAACCCCACAGGTTGTGCTCGTTCTGAACCTAAAATGAGCGCCCATGTCAAGAGGTTTGTGTTAAGGTATCTTGTTTCATCTTCACATAGTACAGCCCAGGGTTTCTAGGCACCTTAGTGGGTTTTGTGCTTAATTTGTCTGCTGCTTACAAACCCTGCTGTCTCTGGCTGTGTATGTGCCTAATAACTTCAGAAGATGCACTGTGTCTCTGCTAGGCAGCTTTCTGTGTGTTTCAGTAAGACTTTTAATTGGCTTGGCTTTCACACTGTATTCAGAGGGGTCTTCAGTTGTCTTTTTATTTTCCTGTTGGCACATCATCATCTGTAGGCCTCATACCCTGAATAGCACCAGCACCTCAAAGTCATTTCAGAGCACAGTCACTGGAGAGCTGAACGCACCCTACAGTAAGCAGTTTGTCCACTCCAAGTCATCACAATACCGGAGAATGAAGACTGAATGGAAATCTAATGTATATCTGGCCCGGTCTAGGATCCAGGTGAGAAATGTTTTGTTTTGGTTGGTTTGTTGGTTTTTTGTTTTTGTTTTTGGTTTTTTTTTTTTTTTTTTTTTTTTTGGCAGGGTCGGGGGTTGTTTTGCTTTTTGTTTTTGTGGTTCTGTGATTTGAACCCAGGTCCTTGTGTATACTAATCCCAGCTCTGGACTTTAAGAGTTGTATTCTACCTAGTCAGTTTTCTTTTTCTTTTTCTTTTTTAACCTTGTGAGTTTTCAACATGAGGACTATGGTTGTAGCCTTAGAACATAGTGCTGGACCACCTCAAGTAGAAAGTATTCCTTGGGACTTTACCTCTTTATATCTCATTAAAGACTGTGGAGAAAACAGGATTTTACACACAAACTGAGTTTTAAACAGCTCAGTAGAGCTGTTTACAAACCTTTGAAAAGTAAAAATAAATACCAGCACTTGAAAGGCAGAGCCAGGAAGATCACAAGTTCCAAGATGACTCTGTCTTAAACAAATAAAAAACTCAATAAATACTTCCGTGTGACCTTGCAGCTTTGAAAGTCATATCTTTTAAGCACTTCCTGTCATGAAATCGTTGCACATTCCTGGTAGACAGTGGGGTATCTAAATGTAAGCATTTAAAATTAAACTTGTAGTCCTCACCTGCTGAGTTATGATCTTAAAACTGACATGTCTAATCAACATCTCACTTGTCCCAGAATGGAATTATAAAGCTCCTACTTTGTAAATTTCTACAGTCCCCAAGCTCTTTACATTTTTAATAGTATCTATCAGTTCCTAAGTTGATTTGTATCCTCAGATCCATGCTTCCATAAAATCCTGTTAACTCACCCCATCTTCCTCCAAGTTCCAGCCTCTTTCGTTTCTGTGTGCAGTAGAGATTCTTACAAGTTTAGTGCAAGCTCTTTGCTCCTTACTGGTAGTTTCTATTATCTTCTTGTTCTTAGACATTTTGCAAATGTGCCTAGCATCAGGCCCTCTTTATCACTTTCTTCTCTTGATGATTCCTTTCAGTCTAGAGTGCTTTGACCTTCAGTCTGAGCATCCTTCTGTGTTCCTGACCAATGCTTTTTCTGGTTGTACCCAGAAACCATTGTTGGTCAGCTCCTGAGACATGTAACATCAGCCAGGAGTTCTGAAACTGAGACTAGGGGTCTGCCCACCCCAGAGACTCTGGAGGGGCGCAGCCAGTCTCATGACTTAGATAAGCATCTGCCTTCTTCATGGGTTATTTTTTTTCTAGTTCTGATTCTGGTTTCCTTGTTTTCCTCTTCCGAAGTGTTCTTTACTTTATTAGCTGATCTTTCTTATAAAATAGTTTTAACAACCGGCTAAGAGCTCTTTGCACTCATCATTATTTTGTTTGAAGTCTTGTTTCATATTCTTTATGAAATAAACTCTCTGCTATGACCCTCTTTGAGATTATGTGGACATGCAGTACGGTCTCTGCTGCTTTCAGTTGCTTTTCTCATTTGCATTTTAGATAGATATTGTTCATTCTGTGCCTGTTCCCATTCCTCAAGAATGTCTTTAATAGGATCTTAACTGTGTCTTCAAGTCATATAACCTAAATCGTTTTTTAAATTTTCTTTCTTTCTGTGGACATGCATGACGGTGTTCATATGCCATGGTGTACATGTATAGGTCAGAGGACAACTCTGAGAATTGGTTCTCTCCTTCCACCTTTACACGAGCTTCAGTGATTGAACTTAAGTTGTCTGGCTTTTGCAATAAGCACTTTTATCCACTAAGTCATCTTTGTTGGTAGAACCTGAGGCATCTTTGAGAGTTTTGACTTTCTCTCATTTCTTTTCTCACTTCTCTGGTGGCAATGGCGATAGTGGTAGGTATCTTAAAAGGTGGGTCTTTCCCACCTCTCGTCTCTCTTTCTTCCTCTTTCTGTCTTCTGACTCTAGTCCCCAGGGACTCGTTCTGCCCCTTTTCTCTCCTCTTTCAATAAACCTCTCATGTGAGCCCGGTGGGCATGGCATGACTTTTCTTCTTGGCATTTTAAAATAAATTACAACATTGGTTTCCTGACCAGGAAAGCTCTCCTGGTGCTTCCTCCTGCCTACCAACATTTTTTTTTTAACTTTTTTTTTATTGAGAAAAGAGAAAAAAAAAAACAAATTTCCTCCTCCTCCCAGCCTCCCATTTCCCTCCCCCTCCTCCCACCCTTCTCCCCCTCCCCCCACTCCTCTCCCCCTCCCTCTCCAGCCCAAAGAGCAGTCAGATTTCCCTGCCCTGTGGTAAGTCCTAGGTCCTCCCCCCTCCGTGCATTTCTAGGAAGGTGAACATCCAAACTGGCTAGGCGCCCACAAAGCCAGCACATTACGTAGGTTCAAAACCCCGTGCCATTGTCCTTGGCTTCTCATCAGCCCTCATTGTTGGCCATGCTCAGAGAGTCCAGTTTTATCCCATGCTTTTTCAGTCACAGTCCAGCTGGCCTTGGTGAGCTCCCAATAGATCAGCTCCACTGTCTCAGTGGGTGGGTGCTCCCCTCGTGGTCCCGACTTCTTTGCTCATGTTCTCCCTCCTTCTGCTCCTCATCGGGACCTTGGGAGCTCAGTCCAGTGCTCCAGTGTGGGTCTCTGTCTCCATCCATCACCAGATGAAGGTTCTATGATGATATGCAAGATATTCGTCATTATTGCTCTAGGATAGGGTCATTTCAGGTTCCCCATCCTCAGCTGCTTTGAGATATCATCTTACACCTGTCAGAATGGCTAAAATAAAAAACTCCAATGATAGCCTTTGCTGGAGAGGCTGTGGAGGAAGGGGAACACTCATCCATTGCTGGTGGGAATGCAATCTTGTGCAACCACTTTGGAAATCGGTGTTTCGGTTTCTCAGGAAATTCGGGATCAACTTACCCCTGGACCCAGCAATACCACTCCTGGGAATATACCCAAGAGATGCCCTATCACATGACAAGAGCATTTGTTCAACTATGTTCATAGCAGTATTATTTGTAATAGCCAGAACCTGGAAACAACCTAGATGCCCTTCAATGGAAGAATGGATGAAGAAAGTGTGGAATATCTACACATTAGAGTACTATGCTGCGGTAAAAAACAATGACTTCTCGAATTTTGCATGCAAATGGATGGAAATAGAAAACACTATCCTGAGTGAGGTATCCCAGAGCCAAAAAGATGAACATGGGATGTACTCACTCATAATTGGTTTCTAGCCATAAACAAGGGTCACGGAGTCTACACTTGATGATCCCAAAGAAGCTAAGTAAGAAGGTGAACCAAAGGAAAAACATATAGTTGTCCTCTTGGCTATGGGAAGTAGACAAAATTGCCGGGGAGAAAATTGAGATCTTGGGGGTGGGGTGGGATGGGGGTAAGGGGAGATGGGGAGAGAGGGGGGAGAGGGGGAGAATGGGGGGGAGCTTGGGAAAGGGGGAGGATTGGGATGAAGGAAGGTTGGATGGGGGAGCACGGAAGCACGGTTCTTAGTTAAGGGAGCCACCTTAGGGTTGGCAAGAGACTTGAACCTAGAGTGGCTCCCAGATACCCAAGCCGAGGTCCCCAGTTACTGCCTACCAACATTTTGAGGTGCACCAGATCCCTGTAACCCAGTCCACATACGACAGCCTCACTTGTCCAACTAACTAGCCCCTCCAACACCAGCATGATTGGTGAGCCCCCTATTTTCTACCTGTGGCCATTTCCCATGAGTGGGGGACTCATCTCTCTAGTGTGGTTTCTTGCCTTTTGGCCTCATCAAGTCCTGGTACCAGGCAACCACGGCTCTCTCAGGCTCGGAGCCCTTGGCTCTTGTTCTTTGTGTGATGTGCACAGGACAGCCTGTGCTTACTTAGTGTGATCCTCTCTGATTTCCTGGGATGCTAGGAATTGCAAACTCTTGAATCTTATTTCTCTGCCTCAGTCATGGGAACTGTGCCCACCTTTGCAGTCAGACGTGGTCTACTCAGTACCCTTTAGATAACAATCCAAATGGCTGCTTCCAAGCACTCTATTATCCCAGTATTTTACGGGACCTTTGGAACAGTAATCCAGTAGTTGGAAGGAGGTATCAGATCCCTTTCACTCTTCGCTTCCCCCTCCCCCAATAAGCCTCTTTACACTAACTCTGTTGCTTGTGGCATGTTTGCTTAGGGCCCACTGAAAGGTAATCACTTCACGCTGGGATCTACCCTCCTGTTCCACCCTCAATGGATCCACTCTCTTCTTCCTGCAACAAATCTGCTTTTTCGTTCACTGATGGCATTGTGTTCCATTCAGTACCAACAATTGGTCTCTTAAGGGGTTATCCGCCTCTGACTATTCCCCTGCATGTGAGGCTTCCTTTCTCAAGCAGTCTTCTCTTCATCTGACTCGAAGTCCTGGTGCCAGGCAATTGTGTCTCTCTCAGGCTCAGAACCCTTGGCCCCTGTTGTTGTGTGATGACGCATAGGACAGCCTGTGCCTACTTAATCTGATCTTCTCTGAATTCCTGGGGTCCTGGGAATTGCAGACCCTTGAGTTTTCTCTGCCTCACTCATGGCAACTGAATCATCACCCTGTAGTCCTGCCTTTTGAGAATTATGTGTTTCATGACCTTTGTCCCTTTAGGTTTGTACTAGCTTGCAGGGTTAGGTGTTTTCCTATTTGAAATATCTTATACCCACCAGAAACTCTAGTATTGCTTTTTCTTATAAAGGTTTTTTTTTATATAGACAAGCATATCATTATTGTACACATACCATTGGTTGTATTCTAGTTTTTTATCCTTACAAAAACTTCAGTTGTTTACTTCCTTTCATTGTACAGCCTGCTATAGTAATGCCATTTAGTATATAACCTGCTGTGCTAAATTTGATCTTGCAACCATTGCTATTATTGTACCTTAGGTTTTTCAGAATAGGCCTCAGTTTGGACTACTTGCTTATGCTGATGAAAACAATACTGATCTGCACTGACATTCTTTCTATATTCTGGTTCACATCTGAGTCACACCTGGAACAATTCAAACTGCTTAAGTTGTTTTCTTTTTTAAAGATGAGTCTGTGACAGGAAGACATCTGTTGACTGCCAACTCCTTCAGAATCCATGAGCAGGACTTGAGTGTCACGATTTCTCTTCCCCAGTTTCTTCCCTGGTCAGAATCGAAAGCACAAGTTCAAATTAGGGCAAGAAAATGCAGATTACCTATGAACATTGTATTTATTTACTTACTTTTTTGAGTATGATATTTTCCCACAACTTTATTTGCTACCCCGTCTAAGACTGCATTACAGGATTTACCAGACACATCCTAGACAGTATAAGCTGCCAAATAAGGCACCAGTGTGTTAGGCAGTTCAGATTTTCTCAGCCACTCAGAGGCTAAGGCAGGAGGACCAAAAGTTGCTTAGTGAGATCCCGTTTGAAAACATGTATAAAGATCTGGGAATGTGTGTTAGCACTTTCCTAGCATATGTGAAGCCCTAGGTTCAAACCCCAGTAGTGAGTTTAGGGGGCTATATCCTGTACATTTCTCCACCTTTCATGGTAATTAGAGCAAAGTAATGTTTTCTGTTTTGCCTTATTCCATTGTTTCTAGGAAACTGAGAGTCAAATCTGAAACTACTTTGTAGTGTTCATAATCCCTTATAGTTCTTCTACTTCCTGTTTTTGTTTTGTTTCGTTTTTGTTTTTTTCAAGACAGGGTTTGTGTAACAGCCCTAGCTATCCTTGAACTAGTTCTGTATACTGGGCTGGCCTCGAACTCACAGAGATTCGCCTGCCTCTGCCTCCTGAATGCTGGGGTTAAAGATGTGTGCCACCACTGTCCCGCTTTCCTGTTCTATCAAATGTATTACTCTATGGAGTTTGGGCTAACTTCATATAGAAGGCACTAGCTTACCTGACTGATGATAACTTAGCAAGCCTAGTGGGAACTCCAGTTCACAGTAGCATTTACAGACATTGTCTTAATCCATTTGGCATTGCTGGTGTAGGATGCTACACATGGGCAGCTTATCAACTATAGTTTACCTGGCTTACTGTATTGGTGGTGGGAATGACAATGCCTCACTTCTAGTGAGGTCCTTTCTGTTGTGGCCTTCTAGAGTGAAAGGCAGAACAGAGGGGTGTCTTAAGTTATCCTTCTGTGGGAGCTTAGTCAGTCATTCAAAGATAGCTAATCTGCTTCCACTAGCATTGCAATAATCCATGCCTGAGGACAGTGTGAAAAAGGATACAAAAACAATGTAATAATGTAAAGTTGAAAGGAGCAGGATTGTCAGAGTTTTAAATTTCAGAAAACAATACAGTCAGTAGCCCTCACTTGAATGTAGATGAAATCTTAAATATGGCTTTTGATAAGACTCCAAGGGCAGTACTTTTTTATGAAAATAAAGGTCTGTCGAGTATATTGAATGTGTACAATTCTTTTTTTCCTTCCATTTAGGGACTGGGCCTGTATGCTGCTAGAGACATTGAAAAACACACCATGGTCATTGAGTACATTGGAACGATTATTCGAAATGAAGTTGCCAACAGGAAAGAGAAGCTTTATGAGTCCCAGGTACTATATAAACTGACCACAATCAGACATCTGACGAACACAGCCATGTGTGTTGAGCTGTGAGCAGAAGCCATAGCTGTAGACTCTTACATGGCTCTTGTCTCTTGCCTTCACCATCATCGTTCGTAGTTGGTGTTACTTGCCCATATGTAGACTAATACCCCCAGCTTTACAAAACCCCTTCTGATGTTCACACTGACCCACCAGCAATGCATCAGCTGTGTTTGGTAGGGTCCACAGGAATGACCAGGGAGTCTGGTCAGCACAGACTATGAGTTGAAGTGAAGGAGCTTCAGATCACAATGATGATTGCCTGCCTTCTCTTTAGAACCGAGGTGTGTACATGTTCCGCATGGACAATGACCACGTGATTGATGCTACACTCACAGGAGGGCCTGCAAGGTGAGGCAGGACCGCCATTGGTCCAGAAGACTTTGCTTGTGTAGAAGTGTCCCCACTCTGGCTGTGCAGTGGACTGGAATCTTCGTACTTGCTTTGTTAAAACATCAATAGAAATGTCATTAGTTTCTTTTAGAGGGGAATGCTCTTATTGCTGTTGTGTTCAGTTTTCTGATTTGTCTTGCAGATATATTAACCATTCATGCGCCCCTAACTGTGTGGCTGAAGTAGTGACCTTTGAGAGAGGACATAAGATTATCATCAGCTCCAACAGAAGAATCCAGAAAGGAGAAGAGGTAAGGGGTGGCCGAGAGGGAATCTGCCTGATGTCTGTTCCAGGATGTAGCAAGCAGTTCATGGACCTGGGGTTTCTAGCACATTATTCTTAGAAAGTTTTGCCATCTGTTCATCTCACTTCAAACATTCAAATGCCGGCTTCTTTCATGCGGTAGTTCTTAAAGCCACATGAAACCTACCACACAGTACCACACACGTCTTCGGATCATCCTTTGTCCTTTAATCTGGGCAGTCTGACAAGCCCCTCTCAAGATGATGCCTGCCACTGATTGGACATGTAAGACATGGAATTGCCACCTTTGGCAGTTGCACAAACTTGATAACTCACATGATGTATTATTGGAAGGGTTGCAGACACAAGTTCGGAGAGCCACGTGCTCCTATGTGCACACTTAGGAAATTTCACATCATATATGTGGGTGTTTTGTGTTTTCTGTTTTTAAAATGTTTCATGTAAGACTTGACATTAGTTTCTAGTATCTCAAAGAGGTGACTTTGGACTAGCTTTTCACCTAAGGTTGCTGTTATTCCTAATTGCCCACTTTACATTTCCCAACTCTTTCACGTGGCATCAGCACCTTGAATCAAGTGCCCTAAGTCTGGAATTGATGCCCATGGCAAGCTCTTGGGAAGACTGCAGTGTTGGGAAGCCTGGGTGTGTTCACTGTGACAAAGCCCCAGTCTTCTGTGGGCAGAGCTTGAGATCATACCTATTTACTTGGTCCTTTTAGAATGTGCTTTTAAAATTAAGAACATGCTTATGAAGTGAGGTTAAAGCTCACCATTCACAGTAACAGATGTGTAAGAATATCCTGGTGCCAGGACCCCAGGTCTCATCACTCCAGGATAGGCCCCACAGAGCCCACCCTTGTGACTCTCCTGTTTGTATCATTTTGCACACACCCTCTAGCTTTGCCAAGCCTGTTTTCTGTAAAATGGAGATATATTGTTTAATTCCATAGCGGGGAAGAACTCAACAAACACCTAAGAAAAGATAGTGGCTTCTTTTCGAAGCACAGCTGCTCTGTGGGCACAGTTTTCTTCCTTCTTATGTAGTCTTCCACATAGCTGTCTGATGTCTGAGTTAGGCAAGACCCAAGACATTTACTGTGTCTTGCCCCTCACTTGGCTTTTTGGTTTTATGAGGTAGAGGGGGCAAGGATGTAAAGCTTATTTGGTGGGATTCTTATTGCTTCCCATCCATTTGGTTGGTCTGGAATTTGAGTAAGAATTCTATAGCCTTGAATGTTGATCCAGAACAACTTTCTCTGAGGGGAACACTAGTTTATCTTGAGCCAAATACAAGCGGCCATGGTTGGCAAAACAGATTCAGTGTACCCTGAACTCCATCATGTTCCACTGTGGAAAAGATGGCATTGACTTTGTCATTACAAGGTTAAAAGAAAGTGCTCAATTAGTGCTTTAATTGGTGAGACATGAAGTGTTGGTAGGTTTTAGACACTATCTGAAGATAGGTTTGTGATGGTGGACATTCTAAACTGTTAAAATCACAAAGATGTTAGACCAGGTGCAGATGTTGGTATAAGACAATAAAGGGGATTGGATATAGCTCTAGAACATTTTTATGGCAAATCTGCAATGTTCCAGCTCTCCATGATGCCAAATTCTAGTAAGCTAATAAGTCTGTAGGGCCTTTGAGTAGATATAGCTTCCATCCACATGAAGAGAAGGAAAAGGCCATGATATTGGCAAGGGCAAGATCATCTCTGACCAAACCAGGGTAGCCTTCTAGGATTTGAGGGAGTGTTAGTCCTCATCTTTCCAAAAGTGGTGGAGAGAACACCAGAAGACATAGAAACAGTATCCACATTACCTTCCCGCAGATCTACTTCCTATTAATGTATGGTACTTACCACGTCCTTTTGTGGTTCACCACCTCACCCCATCCTCCCGCAAGGTTGCATGGGACCTCAACAGACCCAGTTTTGGCTTATGTTTGTTTTCTTGCTGGTTTTAAAATACGAGAGAGTTGGAAGTGGGGTACTACCCTGTCTCACACTGTGTCTTTGCCATGGGCAGCTCTGCTATGATTATAAGTTTGACTTTGAAGATGACCAGCACAAGATTCCATGTCACTGTGGAGCGGTGAATTGCCGGAAGTGGATGAACTGAATGCATTCCTTGCTATCTCAGCGGGCGGCTCGTCCCTAGGAAGAGGCGACTCAACACTTCATTGGATTTTACAGACAGAAAGATATTTTTGTTTTCTGACTTTTTGAAAAACAGCTTCTGGAAGCTCTGGTTCCTCGGCCTTTGTCTGAAGGAAGCACAGCACGGAGGGAGCCAGCTGAGGCTGCCTTGCTGTGCACTGAGGTCAGCAGAGTCACAGAATGGTCCAGCACTTTTTTTTCTTTTTCTTTCTTTCCCTCCTTTTGTTTCCCTGTGGGTGGGTTTTGTTTTGTTTTTGTTTTGTTAGTCTCACTAAGGAGAAACTTTTACTGGGGCAAAGAGCCGGTGGCTGCCCTGCCCCAGGCTGGGGGCCTTCCTATGAATGTAAGACTGAAATCACCAGCGAAGGGGGCTGTCCAGAGTGCTGGCCACGCCTTACTGACAGGGGCAGGCCCTGAGTTTAACTAAGTGGACACCACTGATCAAGGAATGTACTGAGATGACTTCCTTAGGGATAGAGCTAAGGGATAATAACTTGCACTAAATACATTTGAATACTTGATTCCATGAGTCAGTTTATTGTAGTTTTTGATTTCTGTAAAATAAGAGAAACTTTTTGTATTTATTATTGAATAAGTGAATGAAGCTATTTTTAAATAAAAGTTAGAAGAAAGCCAAGCTGCTGCTGTTACCTGCAGAACTAACAAACCCTGTTACTTTGTACAAATATGTAAATATTTTGAGAAAAACAGTATAAAATAGTTATTGACCAAATGCTACCAGGCGCTGCAGCAGCTCGGGTGCTTATAACCGTGGTAGGGATGTTACAATATAATTTTGTGTTATTAAATATGCCATTATAATTATGTAATAACCAAAATTTTGCCCTGGTGTCTCTGGGCTTTTTGGAAACTGTCTCTTAGTGCTTGTTTTCTACACCTAACTTCTGACAGAGCAGCGCGTGTGCTACAACTACAACTTTTATAGCTGCTGGTGATTTAAACTAATGTTTCCTATTATATTGTTGCATCCCTACTTCTTCAGTCAGGTTTTTTTGTGCTTACAATTTGTGATAACTGTGAATAACGGCTTAAACACACACCCAAATGGAGGCTGAATTTTTTTCTTCAGCAAAAATAGTTTTGATTAGAACTTTGTTTCCGACCACACAGAATTATGTAATCATAAGAGTCATGTAGCAGGGACCTAACCCAACTCCTTAGCCTTCTATTTAACATAAAAATTTAAAAAGAAAAAAAAAGAGAGAGAGTGAAAGAGACGTGATGATGCTCCCAGCTGCAGGACTCCGGCAATAGGGTTTTTCGAAGATGTAATTTTAAAATGTGTTTGTATGAACTGTTTGTTTACATTTCTTTAATAAAAAACACACTGTTTTGTGTTTGCTTGTAGAAACTTAATCAGCATTTGAACCAGGTTAGCTTTTTATTTTGTACTTAAAATTCTGGTACTGACACTTCACAAGCTAAGTATAAAATGAAGTTTTTGTGTGCACAATTCGAGTGGACTGTGAGCTGTGAGTGCATTCAGTGACACAGCTCTCAGCTTGTAATGTATATGGCATGATGTATTTTTATCTTACAGAATAAATCAATTGTATATATTTTTCTCTTGATAAATAGCTGTATGAAATTTGTTTCTTGAATATTTTTCTTCTCTTGTACAATATTCTGACATCCTACCAGTATTTGTCCTACCGGGTTTTTGTTGTTTTCTGTTCTGTATAATAGTATCTAATGTTGGCAAAAAATTGAATTTTTTGAAGTATACAGAGTGTTATGGGTTTTGGAATTTGTGGACACAGATTTAGAAGATCACCATTTACAAATAAAATATTTTACATCTATAGAATCTGCTTCGTGAACTGTGGTCATGTTTGGTTCTGCGTGGTGTCTGCCAGAATTACTGGAGTCTAGATGTTCAGGTGTAGATTTAGCCATGCTCCCTGGATGTGGAAGTCTCAGTGTGCTGCCCATGCTCAAGCAGCCTTCTCGCCTTCCTCTCCTCAGTCTCCTGAGAAGTCAGGACTACAGGTGTGTCTGCTGCTAGGCCACCTAGACAGGTTTTGTTTTTGTTTTATTTCCTTTCTTCAAGCTACTTTTTGAGTTTACTTTGTATGGTAGAGACCTAGCAGAATGAATAGGCATAACTCATTTAATGATTTACAGATATGGTAGTACATACCTTGAATCCCATGTGAAGCAGGGAGTTTGTGAGTTTCAGACCAGTGTAGGCCACATACATGTAAATATGTATATGTAAACAAGATCATCTCTCAGGAATGAAGAAGCTACAAAAATCAAAATTCCCAGAAGCCCCCTTTCCCTAACATGGTAGGTTCAGAGCTCCATTTCTTCCCCCAGACACATTGACCTTCAGGAGTCTGAGGGGAGGAAATGTCTTTGTGTTTATTAGAGTGATGCTGCTCCTTTAAACTTGTCTCTAACCCTTGTTTATGGGTTAGAGACCACTCTGCTTTCTGGGATGAGCCCTTCATGTTGTGTGGAGGGGGGAGGGGGGGCTTTGTTCTGTCTGCCCAGCTAGCTTACACCCGAAATAACCACACAGAAACTGTATTCATTAAAACACTGCTTGGCCATTAGCTATAACTTCCTATTGGCTAACTAAATTTAACCCATTTCTAATAATCTATATATCACCATGAAGTTGTGGCTTACTGGGAAAGATTCAGCATGTCTGACCTGGCAGCTCCATGGCAGCTCTCTCTGACTCTGCTTTCTTCCTCCCAAAATTCAGTTCTGTCTTCTCCGCCTACCTAAGTTCTGCCCTATCAGGCCAAGCAGTTTCTTTATTGATTAACCAAGGAAAGCAACACATAAACAGAAGGACCTCCTACACCACCTTCATCTGACAAACTAAAAGTTTTTGCTGTATACCAAGGAAACCAGACACAGACGCTAAGCGGAGTGGTTCCCTCACCAGGTGAGCAAACTGACATTGCTTCTGTGTGCTCCAGACACCCAAGCCAGTGGCCTGCCACCAATGGGGGAGCCTAGCACCATGCTGAAGAAGTATCACCTGTCACTGCTAAAAGTGCCTTAAGATTTCCTGAATGAACCTGATTCTCAGCAGCTGGTCTACTGTCAGCCCTGTCTGCTGCCCAGTCTTGATTGTTGAGCTCGTGTGTGATATGCAGAAGTCTCCCCAGAGTGGCTGCACACGTCTCAGCATCTTCTTATGCAGTGTTCCGCCAGGCGGTGGTGGCGCACGCCTTTAATCCCAGCCAGGCAGAAGCTGGCGGATCTCTGTGAGTTCAAGGCCAGCCTGGTCTACAAGAGCTAGTTCCAGAACAGGAACCAAAAGCTACAGAGAAACCCTGTCTCGAAAATAAAAAAAAAAAAAAAAAAAAAAAAGTTTCTCTGTTCTGAAGAACAGAGCTTAAGTTTTGAATACGGCTTTCAAGAAAATTGTTCCAACTCAATTTCAATCTAGCCATGAAAATAAAGTTAAGTACCTTGCTTCATTTTCCTCGATGGACCTACTGCAATCTTAAAATTCCTCTTGGGATATATGCCCAGCTTTACTGTTTCGAAAAACAAAAAAACAAAAACTTACAAATTCCCAAGGCATTCAGTTCCTCCAGACCATCCACCCCCCAGCTGTCCTCCTTTCTGACCTCTTACGTCTCCACAGTATGGTGACTGTGTACCAAACACTGCTTTTGCTGAACAGGAGGCTGGCAATGTGCTCACTCACTGGCCCCGTAGAAGCCTCATGCCAAGACTTGTTTTCTTCAAAGCCACCCTACCAATCTGCTGCTAGGCTATGGAATGAATTGTGGATGAAATGGGGGTTTCTCTCAGGAATACTTTCCTTCAGTTACCACGACCCAGTCTGTGAAAAGAGCTGCTGCTGTTGTTTATACTCCATGTGTAGGAGACCCTCACCTAGCCTGGTGTTAAGTTGGAAAATTTAAGATGTGCCATTGGGAGATCTCAATCTGTCTTACATTCCAGCCATAAAGGCAATGTTCCACCACAGTGTGTTTCTGCTCCGCCACACACAGATAAAATTCTTTAACAAGCTATTGTTTCTTGTCACGTTACATACACTACAGCCTTTGTCAATCTCCACCCATCTCCACATCTCACATTTTCACAAATACACCCCCGGTAGGGGGTGGTCTGTTTTGTGTTAATGCATGTAAAATGATATCTGATGTGGTTGAATTGCATTTCATCAGTGACTGTGACATTGAGAACCTTTTCATATTATGAACTTTGTGTACACACCACTCCCATCTAAATATTCAATAACTCCTTTTGTGCATTGTAAAAACTGGGTATTGAATGTCTCGAGCTTTTTCATCTTCTCATTCTGTCTTTGAACATGTGCTTGACTCTTGATTAAGTCCCATCGTGTTAACATCTTAAGGCTATTTGTTTGGCAAATCTTTACCTACTCTAAAGTCATGAAGATACTCTGCATTTTTGCCTTTATTTTATGTTCAGATCCCTATCTGACCTGAAATAAATGTGTTCAATCAAGGATGGAGAGAATTAAGGTTTAATTTTGTTCAGGTACAACCAGTTCTTCCAGTAAAATGTACATATTTGGAGTTAGGGAGATGACTCAGAAGATAAAGTGCTTGACTTGCAGACGTGAGGCCCAGAGTTCAAGGCCAGGACTCACATTAAAGCCAGGTTAGTGCAGGGGCCTGTGTGTATTCTCGGTGTGTGGAAGGGGGAGCTCCCTGTAAACATTTGGTTTCCTTGAGGCACTGAACTGAACTGGTCATTTAGCCACACTGGCCTGTTTTTTGTTATAGTTGCCTCTTTGCCCTTAAGTCATTAGCACAATAATTTTGAATTAGTACACATCCTCCAGAATTATTCTTCAAATTTTCTTATCACCTAAAAAGGTCAGCTGCAGCAAACTCTGGAAACTTCCCAGCACTCAGTTTGAGATGCAGCTTCTTGGCAGCCTTGTCACGTTGGCCTTGGTCTGTTCTGTGCCCCACAACTTCAGTTGCAAACTGCAGACAGTGCTCCAGCCTCATTCTCAAACTGCCACTCATATGCACAGCATAACCCCCCCCCTTTTGTAATTTTTTTATTTATGTATTTTGATTTTTTTTGTCCTAGAACTAGCTCTGTAGACCAAGCTGGCCTCAAACTCACTGAGATCCACCTGCCTCTGCCCTCCAAGTGCTGGGATTAAAGGCGTGCGCCACCACTGCCTGGCCTATGCTCCTTTCTTTGTAGCTTATGTGTGGAATTCTCTAATGTGTGGAAGCTCTTTGGTTTATGATGAGCCATGTCCCAATAAGCCCTCCTGAAAATGAGAAAGATCCTAAGCTGAAGGTGCATTTAAATACACATAGCCTTTTAAAGGAAGTTTAGCCTCATCGAGATGCCACACATCAGGTACCACATAAGGCTACATTTGGGCAAAATCCCTGAACAGAACAAGCCCATTCTGTGTTGGTTATATATTGTTATGTATTGAGTACTGTGTGTGTGTGGTCGTGAGGTCTCATATAACCCTCGATCACAGAGATCTGTCTCCTCAGTCCTGTAATTAAAGACCTGCAAAGCCATGCTGCCTGGCCTGAATACTTAGTTTGATGTAGATTAAAGCTGTATCATCAACAAATAAGCGGGGGGCGGGGGCGCAGAATTCTATACAGAAAATTAGGCTGAGATGTACAACTTCATCTCAAACTCAGTTGTCAAGGCATCTCTATGAAGGCACTCAGGTATGTCACATCAGAGAATCCTGAACTGAGATTAAGAGTCAGAAGGCTATCTGAGGAACCTCAGGGCCCTGTCACTTCAGATTGGGATCCTTGGAGCAGTTGTTGTAGTTGTTTTCTACATTCTTTGAAGTCCTTTGGTAGACAGATACTGTAACTGTTCTTCCAACTGAGAGGCTTGGTGGCAGGCCAGTGTTCCATCTAGCTCTCTTGCTGGCTTTGTTCTCTGGGCATCTCTCCGTAGTTTTTATCATATCCTATCCAACTGTTTTTGCCATTTCCAGTTGGTCTGAGTGCAACCTTCTTGGGCAGTTTGAGTTCCTTGGCTGAACAGCAGGGGATGGTTTGGTTTTCTAAGACTGGCTCTGCTGTACTCTGCTATGCCCCCCACAAATGAGCTTCCCTTCACTCATATCTGTGGGCTGGTTGCCATTCTTCCTGATGCCATCAACTTTTTTTCCTTTTGGCTCCTATTTCATTTCTCTTCTGACATTTCATATTCTTCCTTGAGCTTCAAATTTGCTTTCTCTGTCTAAGTTAGGATCACTAAAAAATTAATTTCTATTACAGGTGAATGACTACTGCTTATAAAATTTCCAAGTAATCTGGTAGCATACCATACACATTCTACTATGTTTTCATCATTAGACATTTTAAAACAATGTTTTAATTTTTTTCTTTGACCAGCAAGTGAAAGTGTATCAGTTTCAAACTATTGGAAGGTTTTATAGTTCATTTTTTACATTAATTATAAACTGACTGGCCTATTAGCTCAGGCTTCTTATTAACTCATAACTTCTGTTAGCTTATCTGCTTCCTGTGTCTGGATGACAACTGTAGACTGATCCTCTTCCCAGAATTCTCCTGTTCTTTATAGGTCTTTTTTACTTGACACCTTGGACATATGTACATGCTGTGGTTTTGAGTGGAGAGTTCCCAAACCAGATAGGCCTAGTGATACTGTGTATTGTTAAGATATCAGCACCCTGTTTTGGGTTTTGAAAGACATGCTGAAATATCTCACAGTAACTGTAGACAGATATGCTTGTTGAAGCTCCTAGTTTTTGGCAGCATGTATTTGGGATTCTTCCTGTAGATGAATTGAGCCTTTCTGTCATTGGGCAAGAAC